GGAACAAATAATCGGCTTGTTTTGTTTTCTATAATCGTTCAAAACTCAGATCGTAATCGTGATTAAAATTCGATTAATTGAGCAGCCCTAGCATTAAGTGCAGTTTCAGACTGACAGCAGTGAGAACGTTGCTTGGAGCTGGGCACACACCCAGTGCATGAGTGGAATAAGACAAAGGAAAATAAAATCAAGGACAGAAAAGCAAACAAACCATGAGCAGCTTGGTGTGGAGAGATTAGAGGAAGCGTTGACTGCTCTGGCAGAAGCTGAAGCTTCGTTTCACTCTTGTCCACTGGTGTTTGGTTGTTCAGAGATACAACCCAACATGACAGCTCAAGTCACAGATGTTGATTTTCTGTGGCTTCAAATCAAACAAGACAAAAACAAGATTATGTCAAAGAGGAAATCTCTCTTTGCAAGAATATGTGTATACTGCACAAACCGTACAATCAACAGGCTCGTTAAGCTATTCTCAGTATTTTCTCCTCACTTTAATCTCCATCCCAACTTTATCAATTTAGCTTTCATCAGAATCTTTCTTTACTTCCACATCCAGGCTTTGACATTCTCTTTTTTCCCCATCTCCAGAGACATCTCCAAACACAGGCTGGAACTAATTCTGTCTTCTGCCCTTATCTCTGTCTTAATTAGTTCAGTATGTCTCCTTATGGTGAAATACATTCACATATGCTCACAAATCTTCTCCCCTGTCACCAACAATCTCTCATTCTCCCTCTGGGGGGCTAAATGTGCCACTACCTAGCCTGGCCCCCCTCCTTAAATATTGATACTCTGATCCTCTCTATATTAGCGAATGGCTGTTGATCACATAGCTTTGTGGAGGTGTGTGTGCGTGCGCCAGGGTATTAATGAGGCAGAAGCAGATGCATATTTAATATCCTGAACACATTCCATCACCATAAATGCTTTTATGTCCCCATCAGCCCCACAGAGATGGTCTGGTGTGACCTGACTCGGAGCAGCAACACACCTCAAAATCCTTCCATCCACAACCTGTCAGGATGTGTGGATGAGTCTACAATGCAAATGTGGTAAAAACTGGGGGATGAGACTATTAATGAGCTCATTTTTCTCTCACTCTCATTTTCGAACCTGCTTGTTCCTCAGCAGGGTCGTGGGGAGCTGGTGGCTTTCTCCAGCAGTCATCGGGAGAAAGACAGCTAAACATAACAATAATGATTTTTTGGTAAAAAACAAAATTATAAAGAAAAAAGTTGAAAGCAGAATGACCTTATGTATCTCCTGTGGGCTGGTTGCAAAATAAGTTTCTTTTCAAGTAGATGAATGTGATAGAAAATGTAAAAACATATTTAACTCATTTAAAGTTTTAAAGTCATGAAACAATCAACATATTATTTTATTTAAAAGAAGAAAAGGTGATTTAAGTTTTTTCAACATAAGATTGTTCACGAGTGAAGGAACAACACATTCTCACACCCAAGGCGTCAAAATATGATGCGTGTGACCAAGCCTCAATATTTGACGAATCGGGACGCCCCAGCGCGTCAGGATACGACAATCAGGGACAAACTGCTGACGTAGCATCCCAGAGCGTTGGTATCCGATGCTGGTGCTGAGATGGACATTAGAACTACTTGTGAACTACTTAACCTTCCCCTCACCCCAATCCTAACCTTAAGGTCACAGTTTATGGACCTTAAGGTTAGGATTGAGGTGAGGGGAAGGTTAAATAGTTGAATAATGTCCGTGTGACCGTGCACGTCAAACAGTGACGCCAGCGGAGCCACGTGACCCAGCTTGTCCCTGATCGTCATATCCTAATGCACTGGGGAGACTATGACTCTCGCCTGGCCAGGAAACCCTTTGGGATTCCCCTGGAAGAGCTGGCCCAAGTAGCCGGGAAGGGGGAAGTCTGGGCCTCTCGACAACATAGGTTGTTGTTGTTTCAGTCTATTGTGATGGAGGACCCTCGACTGTCTATTTCCCAACCTTCCCCAATTCTCTATGGTCACTCGATTTGGATATTGAATTAAGGAAGTTAAATAAAGTGGCTGAAAGGAACTTCCTTTGCATGGATGGAGCTCCACTGGTAGTTTGGAGTCAAAATGCTGCTCCTCAAAAGCCAGCCATGTAGAGTGCACGTGTCCTCAGAGTGAGGACATGAATACAGATAAAGGCCCTCTCTCACTACTGGAGTTGAGTGAATGTGATGTGTTCATGAAAGTGTGCTGCTTGCTTTCTGGCTGTGTCTGATAAAAACACCGGGCAGACTCTAAAGCAAAATGCATGAAGATAAAAGAAGGAAAAAACAAGGAACGGTATGTGTGTAGAAACACTCGCTGCCACACACTTAACTGGATGTCGCCTTGTTCGTTTGCCATGTGGCACAAAGCCAAACACAAAAGAGTGAGCTGCAATGTTACAGGACGATGGAGCTATCATTAGTGGTGTGTTGCCCAGTGAAAGGCCTGTTTCTAACATCAGCAGCAATCTCTGTTTCAGCATCTCAGTATAATATCCCCACTCTGTTTAAGAGATTAGCTGCTACAGCTTAAATTTCACAGACAAGTCAGACGCCGTCTCTGCATTACCACAACACAGAGACAGCCAAATGAACAGGGAGGGGTCGATGTTTGGGGACCAGACAAAAGCAATAATTGTGAATAAACGTATTTTATGCACAATTTAAGAGTCTGTAAACATGTTTGTTAGCACTTCAAAACAACACTTGATAAGTTTCCTGCTTCTCCCTCCTACTGGTTGAAAGCTGACTTACCACTGTCGTAAGCATCTTGCCGCAGCCTGCTGTAGCTAGCAGTAATGACGAGCTAACGTTAACCAAGCCATCTGATACTAAATAAACCACAAAGTAAAAAGATTCACACTGTTGGACAAATACTTTCATTTCTTACAAGTCCAGCAGCAACAAAGCTAGGTCGACATCAGTCCGTCATTTCGTAGCCTCCTTTTGCTGTCTCAAACCAGTGTAAGCTGTGCTGAGGGTTTATCTGGCTTTTTTACTTTTTGTGTTGTCTCCAAAGATAATATGATGTGTATGTAAAAAGTAAATTCATTCTTCCTCTTATGTTGGTCGGCGAACGGAAAAAGCTAACTGCTAGCCTTTATATTAGCTACCGTTAAGCAGGGAGAGACCCACCACTGTCTCCTACCACTATCTGAACCAAGTAGTAAACATGTAGTAACCAATGTTGGGCATCATACATAAAAAAAGTAATTAGTTATAGTTAGAAAATGCCTTTTACAATAAGTAATTGATTTAGTAACTCAGTTACCACATTGTAAAAGTTATTTGTTACCTAGCAAAGTAACTGTGATGTTACTGCAGTTATCTTGCATAATATCTAAAACGTCAAAGATTTTTTTTAACTGAGTGATTTTTACTATCTAGAATGAACTTGTCAGATATACGAAATGTTCATTCAGTAAGAATGCTCTCATCGATATCTGGAATGTTAATTTCTACAAGGAACAATAGAATTACAGATATCTGCATATTCCATCTGCCTAATGATAAAAAGCCCTCCCTAGGTTTGGGGGCATTTTAAGACATCTCAAACTTAATTTCTGCTTGTGCAGTTGTTTTTACGAATATCATTAATTATAATTTCTACTAGTAACAACATAGCTGCTCATGACTTCATTTATAATGTTGACTAATAAGAATACAACTAATACCAAGATAAATTAAATTATTGCTATGCAAAAAGGGCATTACAGAGAGGTCCAAATGTTGATTAAATGTTAAAATGGCTTGCCACTACAATGGGAAAAGTAATTAATTAGATCACTCAATTGCCTTAAAAGAATGTAGTTAGTAACACTGCTGCACTGTTACTCCCACCGCTGGTAGTGACCGTGTAGGAAGTGTTCAGTGAAGTTGTTCAAGTTTCTGGCTCAATAACCACTGAAACCAGTTTGAAAGCAATAGCTTCAAGTGTTAAAAACTCTTGTGTGTTGTTTTAAAGTAAAGGCTGGGATGTTTCAAACCCATTATAACAGTTAGAAACATGGTTTTAATTTGCATCATTTAGTTTTTTGCTTTTGAGAGTTAACGAATGGAAAAACTGCAAATTAACGATATAAAATCTGAACTCAAATGACACCTTAAATCAACTTGAGAGAACGTGGGAGTAAAGTAGGTCTCAGAGCTCATTCAAAACTCACTAAACTCAAAACAGAAATGAATTATGCTTTTTTATGTTTGATGTTTTCGTGAGACTGGAGTTCACCAGAAAACATCTGATGCATCCCAGATGCAACGACAGGTATCAAAGGGATTTAACATGATGACTATTACTCATGAAAGAGTCAGACCTGGGATGCTGCTGCTGATGTTAGCAAGGCTGCTGATTTATGGATACATTTTTTATTCTTTGAACTAGGATATTTTTCACTTATACATGCACGTAAACACAAATGTGTTAAAGGATAAATCCAGAGAGACGTATGGGTTGCAGCTCAAAAGGGCAAGTGACATTTACAGTAACGAAAAAGACTAAAACAGCTTAGATGCTATTTAATTTCCATAGAAAGTGTTACTTGTCTGGAAAATGGAATGAAATACGTGTGTATTAATGTGTTTGACAGTTTTTATGTGAACTGTATGCATTTGCTGGATTATTTAACCCATCAAGCCATTTATAAAATGGTGATTTGTCCTAAAGATTAAAGTGGGGACACTTTCTTTTCAATGAAACCCTAAACCCTAACACACCTGTATTTTTATGTTAAGATAAATGTTGTAAATAGTTTTCTTGCTCTGTAAAGTAAACCTTTATATATTTTAGTTATACAAAGATACACTGCATTAATTCAGTTGAACAAGAACATATGCAGTGGTTTTTATCAATTCAAAACCCTGCAGGATTCGACCATAAAAGTGATTGATAAACGAAGATGAAATAGGATCATCATAAATACACTGAATAAATCATAGTAAACATATTATAAATAAACCTATTTAATGAATTATTCCATGTTTTTCTGTTGATCTGCAGGACAGTGCCACTATGCAGTTCTGTGCCAACAAGCTGGACAAAAAGGACTTCTTTGGAAAGTCTGACCCCTTCATGGTTTTCTACAGAAGCAACGAGGATGGAACGTAAGATCTTCATGTGGACTTGTTTGTTTTTCATGGTTTTTAGCTCAGATCATTGGATTTTGATTTAAAAGTAGGATTAATCCTTTGTAGGGTGTGCTATAATGCAGGCGCCGTGCTTTCCTTAATCCGTGCAAAAACCTTTTTCAGTAGGTCTGGTGACTAATCTAAGCTGATTTTTATGCTTAGCTATTCCTCTTTTTGGAGCCTAAAGAAAATCACGATGTGGCTCAGAAAGACCTTGAAAAGGGAAAATGTTTTTATTTGAGCCAAAATAAAATAAAACATGGTTTTAAAACAAACATCTTACAACTCTTTCACCAGTACTTCATTTACCATATTAAAAAAAAAACCTCATTCTTCTGTGTCTGTATTAGCTGATGTTAATGTACCAGCTGTCTATTAATATGGATTATTTTTATCATGTCACTACAACCACCACTACTACTACTGCTACTACTACTGCTACTACTACTACTACTACTACTACTACTACTACTACTACTACTACTACTACTTCTACTACTACTACTACTTGTAGTGTTATGAGATTGGGGTGTTAAATTATGACCAATAAGATGTGATGATTCTATATAAATATAGAATATCAACATGATTGATCTTTGAATGTTTAACCAGAAGAATTTAGGATTCTTTGCTTATTCAGTGACCAAAAACACTTCGTATTAATTCAGACAGAGTCAAGTATATAATTAAAATAAACTTTATTTTCTAGACTAATTATATTACATGACAATCTATGAATAATGATGTGTGATGGAATGTGGTTTTTATCAAAAACTTTGTATCTGAAAGAAACTGTGAGTTCTGGGTGTAAAAGAATGTGGTCTGCTATAAACTAGAGAGTTGATTATTACTAAAACAACATCAGACGCAATCTTGTTGTGTCTATGTACCCTGATCGGAGACCCCCGTTGTAGATCCGGAATGTTGAAATCTGGTGGACCCCAAGGCACCGAAGTCCGTAGAAAAAACCGCCGTACCACTAGACCGGTCTTGAGTTGTCTCCAGGTCAAAACAGGCATGAAGGTTGTTGTGTCTAAGAATGGACTCTTAAGGAGTCTTGCTGTGTCAGCAATGCAGCGTGCAAACAGGTTTTGACTGTATGTCAAAGAGATGTTTCAAAAGAGGCTGGTTCAAGATTGGCCACTCCGGAGTGTCAGCTGGAAACAAAGCCTACTCAACTCAACTCAACTGAACAACTCAGGAAGTGATCTGACTTTCATTGTATCCTATGTTATGATTTTCTGGCAAATCACAATGTGCCATGTTAAGGAGGTTTCACCAAACAAACCTCAGAAACACTCCTTCAGATAGAAGATGCTCTGATTTTGTGGATGAGAAAATCTCTATGTGTCATGACATTACTGTACCCTTGTGTCATGGAGATATGCATGTGTGTGTGAACTTGTCAAGTAGACTGATTATAAAACAAACAAATCATTGCAATGACACATTCATTTCAACCTTAAAAATTTAGGCACAGATTAATCCAAACATTTAATTTAACCCCTTGTTCATACTTATATGATTATTTACGTATTTCATTTCTTCATTCAGTATTCATTGTCATAAAAGTTCATTCTTTATAACGGTTTGATCCTTTATTCTTTGCAGGACAGTCTATAAACAGACAGGCTTGGCAGAAAGACCTTGGTGAAGGGAACACTGTGTTAACAATCTCAATGTCTACAACGCTGTAGAACCTTCCTTGCAGCTTGGAATATTAGAGGGCACACAGAGGCAGAATTATGTCTGTAGATGACCGGATACTGAAGAGGTCAAACTGTAGAGGAAAAATGGCCATTCCTGGATGCTACATACTATTACCACCAACTGCTGCTGCTGCTACTACTACTACTAGTAATACCAAAACTGCTACTACTATTACTACTACTACTACTGCTACTGCAACTACTACTACTACTACTGCAGCTGCTACTACTACTATTACTACTGCTACTACTACTACTACTACTACTACTACTACTACTACTATTACTACTTATACTATTACTACCACTGCTAATACTACTACTACTACTGCAGCTGCTACTACTACTATTACTACTGCTACTACTACTACTACTACTACTACTACTACTACTACTACTATTACTACTTATACTATTACTACTACTGCTAATACTACTACTACTACTGTTACCACTACTACTACTACTACTACTACTACTACTACTACTACTACTAAAACCACTACTTATACTATTACTACTACTGCTAATACTACTACTACTATTACTACTACTACTATTACTACTACTACTACTACTACTACTAAGATTACTACTACTACTACTACTACTACTATTACAGCTACTACTGCTATACTGCTACTGCTTCTAATAAATTTGTTTCTTTACCACATGAAACTATTGAAAATTCATAAAATACACACCTTTACTGTGGTAATTTTTTCTAAAGTCCTAAATCTAGAGAACCAGAGTTTTATCAGTGGTTGAAAAGGTTGATTTTTGTCTGAACTTCATTTTATGACGAACATTATGACACACCTGATTTTAGCACACCTGGCTGGTTATTTGCAAATCAGAAATCTTGAGTCTTAGTACTTCTTGTGCTGAGCAGAGATTTTATCTTGTCAATTATAGAGAAATTCTGGCTCATTGTAGACACTTAATCGTTTATTTGCCCTAACTCCTGTAGGATTTATTTTTAGACTACTTTTAACAAATTTGTCCCCAGGTTCAGTGCAGCTGCTGTAATCAAACAAAGCTGTTTAAAACGAGTTTTGCTGTGTTTAGGTTGTCATTTAAGACCCCAGAATACCTTTACACGAAGAACTCTGTCATCACATTTTTTTTTCATAGGAAACGGTATACTGTATATGAAAAGGTACATTAGGGCAAGCTTGTGAAATAAAAGCTGCAGGTACTGAGGCATGCTCATCCATGGAGGCGGTGAAATGATTCCTGTATCCTTTTCACACCACAGCCACAATTCCCTTGGCTATGCCTTACAAATGATGCCAGAAATGTAAATATGAAAAAGGGCGGCAATTAACATAAAAGGTATGGAAAAATGCGGTAACAAAACACTGCATCTGCATTTTCTCTTAATGAGAAGAAAACAGCCATTTGTTGGGGGCAATTTACTTAGAGATGCATAACAGTCTCCACTCTCCTCACAGGAGAAGCACTCCTCCCAGAGTGCTTTTCAGCCCGTTACAGTGCCCCGGAGTTGTGGCAGAGTCAGCTGTATCTGGCAGGAGATGTCATCAGGCTTTTCTATAACAGGGTGGAAATAGTTCCCCCAGTTCTTCTACAAGTATGTTTTGCTGGGGGGTGTGTGTGATAAATTAGAGGTTTGGGCAGTTAAAGGAGTCATAGGGTGTTAAAAGTCTTGGGGCACTCGGTGGAGCAGTAACAGTCTAATCCAAGCCGTTGGGCAAGACAGCTAACACAAAACCGAGACACATAGCCTCTTTTTAACAGGATATTTTGCTGGTATTTGGTGGCTGCAAAATATTTCACATTCTGTTAAATCAATTTACAGGCCATTGTTACTCTTTTCCAACAGGAGAATGATTCTGCAGAACCATTCAGAAAGCTACTAACCCTTTTTTTCCAAATTTAAATGAGTATCTGTGGTTTAGGACACTGGCCAACAGAAAACAAAGACCTATCGAGAGCATTTCTCCTGTTACCACAGTTGTGTCCTGTTGTTGCATGCTTCTCCCTTTATTTGCATCTTTCTCTTTGGTTGTATAAGTAACAAAGAATGTTTTTGTCTTACCCATTATTTTCTAATGTCTGTTCTCTTTTGGCTTTAGGTTTACTATCTGCCATAAAACGGAGGTGGTGAAGAACACGTTAAATCCCGTTTGGCAGCCTTTCACGATCCCGGTGCGAGCACTTTGCAATGGAGACTATGACAGGTAGGGACTATTCTACATCTTTCAATCACCCCAACTGTTACACTCAGTCCAATTTTTCCATGTTTTTACCCTGATGCATAACATCTAGTTCATGAATTCAATTAGTTGTTGCTCCCAGTGAAACGCTATTACTGATTTCTTCTGGCCCAGTCCATTGACCGCCTGCCTTCATTGCTCTAATTAGTGTCTTGATGACTGACAGAGTGTGTACTAAGTACTGCCATTAGTAAACCTTGAGCACGACCAGCAGGAATCAATACCAAGTTCAACATGGTGCAGTGTGAAGCTTTTTATTGTTTCCACTGTCTCCATTAGCTTTGTACATCCCTTTGTGTTGATCATAGTTAAAAGATAATCTACTAGAAAAATGTAGCCTCTCTAATCCCTTATGTTTCTCCTATGATTAGAGTTCACCCCATATCTTCCCTACATGAGGGTAGATGACCTTCTACCAGTAGCCTGAGTACCTCAGAGTTTGTCAATGTTTGAATGTTTAGTTGTTCTTAGATTGATTTCTAGACAGAGATCTCCTAGGTTGTCTTAGGTTGTTCAAAATGTCTGTTGGAGTCATTCTTCCAGTTTTGAGGTCACAGCCCTTAGAACTATTTGTCTTTTGTATATTTTTTACAGCCATGGTAGTTTTCAAACTTTGCCATCTTTATCATCTGTTTGCTGATTTAGATTTTGAACCCATACAGCTTCTTAGTCTGGTCATTCTCTACCTGTGAAGGAGGCTCCCAATTTGTGTACTGGCCTTACAGTCATTGGATCGCTCAGATTTTCCTATTCACCATTCCACTTGTTTGTGTCCTTCCATCATCCATCTTGTCTGGTGTCATAGACCCTAGCAACTATTAGTCTTGAGCTGAAGAACGTGCTTGTGCTGCTATGATCAGTGCATCTTCATGACAGTTTCTTCTGTTCCTCTTCCATGTTGGGAAAAATGCAGCTGCCAGGTATTAAACAAATAATTTGAGTTGAACCGTATCACACCTGTACTGTAACATCTCCATTGGCTCCCTGTGAACTTCAGAGTGAAGTTTAAGATTTTAGCCTTCATTTTTAAAGCCACAAACTGTCTGGCTCCAGCTTACCTGGCAGACCTGGTTGATTGTTATGTGCCAAAATGGACATTGAGGTCAGCTGACCATCTGTTGCTTCGTGTTCCCTCAATGAGAAAAATCCTTGAGGAGATGTGCTTTTGTGTTTACTGCACCAACCCTCTGGAACATTCTTCCCCTCTCTGTGCGACTGGCCCCGTCCCTCTCTCGTCATTACTCAAAGCCTATTTTTATGATGTGGCATTTCCCCACCCATTATTTTTTATTGTTGCTATGTGTTTTAGTACTGACTATGTTTAATGCTTTTTCATGTGTTTTTACTGTTGATTATGCTTTTATTGCTACGTGTATTGCGTTTTAATCTGTACAGCACTTTGGTCAGCTTCCATGCTGTTTTTAAATGTGCTTATAATAAATTTGGTATGGTATGGTATGGTATGGTATGGTATGGTATGGTATGGTATGGTATGGAATGGTATGGTATGGTATGGTATGGTATGGTATGGTATGGTATGGTATGGTATGGAAATCATTAAGAGCTTTCATAATGATGCATTCCAGGATTTTAGTTGTTTCATCTTGTCTGGTGGTTCCGATGCTCACTGCATCTCTGCCTGCATACTTTTGCTTTCTTTCAGGGTGATTTAGGGTGAAACTCTTCACTCACTATCAATCATGATACCAATGTTTTCTGTCTCCTTCTTTAGTCTGCAGAGTATCTGATGACTGACAAGACATGTGCGTTGATGGCTTAGACTTTGGTTTTACCATTAAGCTGGTTCTTCAGGACATACCTTGAGCCTTGTTTATGCGTCTGAGTCTGAGTCAGTGCGGAGACACGCAACGCCATTATCCATCATTGCGAGGGCTCTCCAACGGGCTCGCAAGGTTAGACGGAGTCAAGCCCACTTTCTAAACATCCGGCGAACGAGACGTTGAACGCATGCTTATGACTGGCCAGGGCACAGCTTCCTTTAAATTCTTTTCAACAGCTCCACCATTGCGCCCTCAGGAAAATAACGAGAGCCGAAGATATCTAGCAGGCAGACACAGAGCATCTTGAAGAACACCTTGTGGGAAAAATATGAATGTTTTATTCACCCATGACTGGAGGAGTATAAAGATATGCATCAAGCATTTTATTCGTGGATGGAAATGATGAGAAATGTGTGTTTAGATGTGGCGAGCACATGAAGAGGAGGAGGTGGATGAGGAACAAATTTGTCCGTGTTAAAAAATATCTGAAATAAGAAAAACACAATATGACAAATGAACTAACTTGGACCGGTTACATGACAGGATGCCTCAGAAAAGCTGTTGTCCTGGTGAGGAATTGCTTTGCGACACTCCCCAGGTGACAGAAAAGCATAAACTAGGCTTTACCTACCATATACTTGATTGATGCTGACTTCTTCACTTCTTTTTATGATTGCCATTTGCTTATAGTTAAGGTAGACTTGTCCTGAACAATTGATTGTTGCCCCCAGGTAGTTTAACCTCTTCAGTTGTGATCACCGTCATGGATATTAGGGTTAGGGTTAGTGTTAGTATCCAGTCTGAACAACATCCCTAAAGTCTTTGCTGTATATTCTGGTGAGGTGGATCAGTGAGGTGGCTAACAACTGCCCCACTCTGGAACCTGTAACTATAGCTACTCTTTACAATAAAGTGATGGCTACTGTTTGAGTCTGAAAACACCAGAAACACAAACTCAAATATCCAACACAATGGTGTGATGCCTTTCACAGCTGGCACATAATTAATGCAAACTTGTTGACATGTGCGGATAAGACTTTACTTATCAGCACATGTTTTATTTAAAAAGACTCTGGTGTGAAGAAAACAAGATAAATCATGAAAGAACTTTGAGGATAGATGAAAGCAAAGTGACACACAGATCATCTTTGAAGGAACAAATATTTAAAAAAAATAATATTTTTCCTCAAATCTCCCTCTCCCTCCCTCTCTAAGGTGTCTGTCGTTTCTTGTTTGTGTGCAGTGAAATTTTAATTGCCAAGACTCCTGAGAACTTGAGCGTGTGCAGCTAAAGCTGAGATAAATCCCAAAAACAGATAGACACACACATGCTGCTGACGGGTTTGCTTTATGGATTTATGGATTTGCCTCAAAAGGTAAATTTGAAACTTGGGTAATGGTGGATGAAATCTGTCAGCCAGCCAGTCACACATAAGTCTATGAAGGATTCTTCACCTTGTCAGAGACAATCATAAACAAGGGATTGAGAGAGGCATAAAAGCTGTCTCCTGAAATACTCCTCCGCAAATCACACACACACACACAACTACACACACATACAGAGTGTAATGAAATCTGATGTGACACAAACTAAAAATGCCAAAAATGAGTGAAGAAACATCAAGGCAGCAACAAAAACTCATATATCTGTGGTTGAAGATACATTTGGTGTTGATGCATGAGAGTAAAACCTGTTTATATGTTTGTTATTTAGCTCTTTATTATATTTTTAGCCTCTGATGGAACTTAACCATCCTGCATGTAAATGTGTATCTAACACTCCTCTTTAGGCTGTCAGCCTCTTTGAGCTGAATAATTACTGTTTACATCCATCAAGTGAAGGAAAGCTTCCAGTGAAGTGCAGACAAAATTAAACAGGGCCAGAAAAGAAAAACATTATTTTTATTTTTTGTCAATATACTTAAGAAAATGCTAAGTTATTATTACAGTTATTAAATGACGTGTTTATCTTTTGGATAAAGAAAATGAACTTAATGAACATGAAAGCTTGCCTTGTTGTTCTAATATTTTAAAACACTCACGGTTTATATTTGAGGACCTGAAGATTTTCTAACCCAAACCCTGTTTTTCAGTATTTCCGTTTGGACCAATAAAGATGTAATAATAAGTTCTGCCCCACATCCCTTGAATGCAGTGATCTGCTCCTACAAACCAGATACTATGGCAACAGTGGAAGAAGGCAGAGATGCTTTATCTATTTTAATATATGTCAGCAGGTTAAACTTGTGGTGTTGATTTGGGAATTGCACTTGCACCTCCATTTTTTTTAAGTCAGATCCCGATTTCTGTTTCACCCCAGCTCTCTAGAAAACCTGCAAACATCTTAGAGCCACAGTTGTCATGTTTATACCCACCTGCCCAGTATGCCGACAGATGACCCTGTGACAGGTTACTGTGCTGCTCTCACAGCTAGACCTTTTGGGGATTTTACACATCAGTCGGCCCGGCCTAGCCCTGGTAGGTTAATTGTGTTCACATCTGGGAAATCTGCATTTTCCGGGTCTCAGTGAGACAGCTGGAAACTGTGTGCTTCATATCAGAGTCTCCATTGCTCACAGCCACTTTGGTTTACTAATTTAAGGAGAAACCAGGAACTTTTCCATGCATCTTTTGGCCTGCCCACATGCTCGGAGACGTTTGCATTCCTGAGCAGGCTGTGTGAACAAAACCTGTCCACGCGGACCGGGCCAGGCCAGATGTGACAATGCCAAAATGGCATTTTGATTGAATGTGTTTCTCTTAACCCAATGGGTAAAAGGAAAGTTCTAAAGGAGTTCATTTTAAAAAGTTTAAAAACTTGTGACTCGGCTCAATTCTCTAAATGAGCAATGAATAAAAAAGAAGCCGTCTCTGCATCCTTCTCACTGCCTGCAAGACTTTACCTAAAACACCCGACAAACACCTTTACAGACATTGACACAATTGCAGTGCATTCCTCCAATCTGTGCAAAGTGCTCTGAGCTGTTTCAAGTTTTAAATGCGGATCATTTCAAAGTCTCATTGATCTGATATAGAGACAGAATTTTACATTTAACTTAAGAGACTTTCAGAAGACTCTTTAGTCAGGAATGGGATCTTCTTCAGCGTGGATTCCATCCTGTGTATGACATGACTGAGTGATGAGCAGCAGCTCAGGAGGTAAAGCCGGTTGTGCGGTAAATGTAGGGTTGCCAGGCTGATCCCAGCTCCCTCCAAGGAACTCTGCCGTGGTGTCCTTGGGCAATACACTTCTGACTTGCCTACGATGGTTAGGTTTATTTACCTCGTGGCAGCAAACACCTGATACTTGAGCACATTCACATTCAGCTGTAGTTCAGAAAACAAGAACAGAGTGGATGAGATGGGATAAAGTCAAGCATAAGAAACAAAGTAAACAAGAACAGAATGCAGCCAACAAATGCCAGAAGAAAATCAAAACTCCAACACGTCACAGTCCCCCTTACAGATTCAAGTCAAAAGACAAATATGAGGAGCTGAAAAGAAAACCAAAGGAAGTGGGAGATGTTTCCAAGTAGCTGTATAAAAGGAAAAGCTTTTCATCTATTTAAAGGTGAATCTTCAACAATGCCTGGAACATTGTTTACCATCAGAGACACCAGAATGTGTTAATGAATCAAATCTTCCTCGTTAGGTTGTATTTCTCTGAAATCTGTTTTCATTCAGGCGGAGCTCTGGAAAGAACAATCTGTTTCCTTTCATGACCAGGAGTTGCTTTTAGTTAAACACCTTACAGTAGAGGATATCTGTGGCAGATTAGTTTTGGGGTGTATATTGTTGTACAAGTTCAAGAGCCTCTTGAGTTTATTCTTTTACACTTTTTTTAATTTAAAAAATAAATTTACCACAAATGACTCAACGCTAGAATGATGAGAGTTTCCAGGTTGTTTCATTAAAATACCACAAAGTGGAGTTAATCAGCAGCTCTCACTGCAGATTTGTACTGGTGTTACCAGGAGAGAAGGCTACATCTTTTCTGTCTTCTTCTACCGACCCTTTCTGTATGCATTTTCACTTTCCTTTCCCACGGAAGACACGGTATCTACCACCAAGATGACAAGCACGTTTTCTCCATCTCACAGCCTCAGAAGATCATCCCCTGACTGTGAAGCAGCGCAGGACTGATATGGTGGCGAGGAAGTTAGGCCTACATCAGACATCTTCCAGTCCCTCAGTCACACGAAAGCTTTTATGATGTATCACTTGATTCTGGTTCTCTTTGGATCTGGAAGGTGTCAGAGCTTGTGAAAGGGAGAAAGGAGCGATGCATGTGGAGTGCGATCAATTTGACTCTGGAATGAAAGTGCCAGGGAAAGTTTTTTCCCTTCTTCTTCTCTACATGAACACTTTCTGCAGCATTTGTGCAAAATATTGTCAGTGTTTCTTTTTCTCTCTCTCTCTCTTTTCTCAGATGAATGTTGGAAGTAAATATGTGCTGCAGTTTCCAGGTTACAATTGCAGCGAGAGCTTAATATAAGCATCTTTGTTTTCCCGTTGGAGATGCTCCCTGCTGATCAGCTGTCTTTTATCTAACCGTGGCAAAGATCCAAGTTTAGAATCAAGCGGTGTGCGCTCTAACTGATAATGGAAATAAAAAGATGATCCTAAGACTTTTTCGCATGCTGCTTTTGGTTCTATTATAGAAGAAACCTTGATGTCCGTAAATCTCTTTGTATAATGGCATTTGTTTAGAGCATGTTTGCATAAAGCTAGGTGTTTGTGCACAAAATATTCTTGTACAACTGAGTCAAAGACTAAACCGTATAAGCTAACTACGTAGAATATTACAGAGCTACTAAGCAGTTTTGCTTGCTTTTAGCACCCCCTAGTGTCCATTATTAATTCACTGTAGTTATATTGAAAGTGAAACTTATCTCCTCACTGTGAGTTTGTCTTTTTCACAACTTGATCCAACAGCTAAAATGTCTCCCCAGCCTTCATTGGTTTCTAGACAAGCGATTCATCAATAAATTAAATAAATCAGCTGTGTTCATGGTGTAAAACATGCAGGAAACGTGCTGGAAGCAGACTCCAGCTCCACCATATCAGCTCCACTCAACTCCACAGCTCTCCCCACCAACAGGGACCAGACCGGCTACTCTGAAGTTGCAAGTGCGGTATTCTGGCCACAGGGGGTGTTGGGGTCTGAGTGACATTTCATTAACCTGTAAAGGGTTTTAGCACATAATGGCTCAAGAGCATAATTTAAAAATATGAAAAAGTTGCATAGTATCCCTTTAAGTGTTCCAATTCAAAACAAAGACTTAGGTGCAAAAATGTGTGTTTCAGATATTGCATTCAGTTTCATTAAGCATCACAGTCATTAAACTTGGAGGTGTTTTATTTGATCAGGGGTGTCAAACTCAAATTCACAGGTGAAATCTTTTTTTCACAGGCCAACAACATAAATAAAAAAAATAGTAATTCTCTTAAATGAAAATGCAATCTCACCTATTAACTTTCATGCTTTGGAGCAGAAAAAGTGCATAAAACCAAAAATATTTAAAGCTCAGTTTGCTCCACTCTGATTTTCTGTGATGCTCACCTGTTCTAGCCAGACACCTGCATAAGTGGGGTTGGGCGTTGAGCTGAGGAAGAGACCCCTGTGTTGTTTTGTTCATCTTTATTAAAAACAACAGTTGCTCACATAGGGTTTGTGCTGCTGAACATGGAGAGCATTTGAGCAGCTTGACCACACAGTTGGTCAGTGTGTCAGGGAGGAATGATAAACACTGCAGCAGCCATGGAGTCATACTGACTTGAGTGTGTTGCTAATCTGGGTTTCAAAGTTGGCAAATTGCTGAATAAACTTGACGCTGAGTAAGAGGGGTGTTCTCAGTTTCTCTGAGGCAGAGGAAGTAACGCTGCAGATGCTGATGCTAGTAGCATGGATGCTAATGACTGTAAAGACATACTGGTTTTTCTCCTTGAAGCATCAACATGTTCCATCTTTGTTGAAACACCTTCCTTCTGCATCAGTCTTTCTCTTCCTTGACATTTTGAGATAATTTGTGGATAGTTATTTTCACTTGTTGCATTAATTAAACATGAATGTCGATACACTGTGACCTAATGGTGAAATACTGTCACTGCACTGGCAACACAATTACCATGCATTATGGGAAATGTAGTTTATAGTCAGTGTACGCTTTGAAGCGGCAGAAACCTATTTTAAGACACTTGAAGCTCTCGCGGGCCACATCTGGCCCGTGGGTCTTGTGTCTGACACATGTGTGTTACATACGCCTGTGTTTTCATCAAAATTAATGTTTACTGATGTATTTATTATTCTGGTTTGTTTTGTTCCCACAGAACAATCAAGGTGGAGGTGTATGACTGGGACCGGGATGGTAGGTGAGTGTGATTACTGAGTTATCATGTTAGAGCCCACTGAGATCCAGATTTTAAGATTCATCCCAGGAATGCTTTAGACGTTTGACTATCCCTTTTTTCTCCTAACTGTTGTTTCTACTTTTGTGTGTGTGTGTGTGTGTGTGTGTGTGTGTGTGTGTGTGTGTGTGTGTGTGTGTGTGCGTGTGTGTGTGTTCATTCCTCCTCCCTAGCCACGACTTCATTGGGGATTTCACGACCAGTTACCGGGAGCTAGCTCGAGGGCAGAGTCAGTTCAATGTGTATGAGGTGAGTCGTTCGAGTCATTCGAGTCTTCTCACCACTCAACAACATGTCTGATGACTCCTGAAACACAAGAGTCCCAATGTGGCACGTATCTGGATTCATTTCTGACGTGGATGGCACTTCCGTCGTTCAACATCAGAGTTGCTCTGTTTTCCTCTCACTTTAGTCCCCCCATCCACCCCCACATGGATATTCTCTACTTCTAAATAAATACTTTTGAAAAATCGTCACAAACCCGTGTTGAAAAACACATTTCAAGCTGTGCTGCTGTGGTTTTCCACAACTCTGTTTATATATAGCTCTGACTTCTCCAAGCAGCTTTACAATGAAACATCTTCCCCAACCGTGATTTATTTATTTATTTATTTTTTGCCACTGTCATCTTCGGGACGCCTGCGCGCATAGAAATTGAACCATTAGCAGCGGGATGAAACAGGATTAATAGATAAACAATTCTGAGATTTATTTGGATTGTGAATCATCATGCTGCTACAGATCTTTGAATGTTTAATCCAAAACTAAACTGTTGTTCATCCAAATCATTATTTTTCTTCAGCCTAACTCAGTTTACTCATTTATGTGAACAATGCAACAGTTCTATGATGATAGCTGTTCGGTCTAAATTTGAAATGGGCCCATTAGAAGGGATTAGAAATGTTTGAGTGGCAGTTAAAAGTCATAATCTTTCCAGAAATAGAGGACATGTCAATGCCTTCATGCCCCTGTGGTTTGGTGGCCTTCAGCGAAGGACAAATACCTGTCTTTTAGATGTCAGCTCCATTATGCTCCACTGTTGATTCCTCTCTACCTCCCAGGGAGACTGAAAGGCCCTTTAGTTTTTGCATCAGCAGATTGTTCGGTGTGTCAGACAAATTGCCATCCCTCCATGTTAAATTAAGGCCTGTCACTTTCATGCCTCGCAGCCATTGAGAACTGAGGTAATGAGCTCAGACGTCTTTGGGATCTAGATTGGCATTTCTTTCTTGTTCTAGAGTCCCTAAAATGCTTGTAAACGTTAAGTCTTGTGCATTAAACCCATCTCGCCCATTGAATGTTTACAATCTGAGATTCAGGTTTGAGTGAGTCCACGTTCTTCAGTCAAAGGTAGATCTGACGTGTACATTTTTTAGGTGAGCTAGACGTTGTCGTTGGACCTAAATATTACTCCTTGGGTTCATTCTTTGACTTGAAATATGTTCTATCAGACTGTTTATTTCAGACAGGGTGAGTGGATGGATGGATGGATGGATGGATGGATGGATGGAAAAAAGTCTTAAAATGTTGAAGCTTTCAATTGATTGTTTTTTTTTTATCTGGCAAATTTCTATCGCTTTAGCATTTTCTGCTCTATACCTAATGAGTTAATCTCTTTATTTGGTTTAAAATTGTGATAACATCTGTCTGCAACCAAAAAAATGAAGTTGAATCCCTGACTCATTATAACCTCAGATGTAGATAAAATACTACAAACTCATCACATTTAGTTTGTTTCTTGTATCATTATGTTTTAAGGTGATCAATGCAAAGAAGAAAATGAAGAAAAAGAAATATGTCAACTCAGGAACGGTGAGTGGGGCTCCAGAAACAAATCAAACAGAAAATCCGATTTCTGTAGCTTTTATCCATTTATCTTTTTTTGATCTTTTTCTATGACGAGTAAAAATCACATGATCTTTGCATTGTAGGAAAAAAAAAATCTTTCTTGTCAATTTCCAGGTTAAACATTAAGCAAAAGTAAAATGAAGAAGTAGATCTGAGCTGCATTACGTGTTTCTACTAACTTGTTCTGCAACATTCTTAGACGATACAGACATGAAGAAAAAAATGCTGGCAAACTTTGCAATTCCGTTAGAGATAAAAATCAGCTGTGTAAAAGATGTAAGTAGGAAATAATAAGGATGAAAACTCACAAGTCTAAAGGCATCAGAGGTCTGAGTGACACCGATGACCATTTGAACACCAATTTTTGAGCTTTCAGAGCTTTACCCAAAAGCGTCTGCAGCTGCAGGTAATGCATACAAATGCATCTCATCTTCTCTTCAAACCTGTCCTCTGGCATTGCAAACATGTCAGTCACCTGAAAAGCTGTTTGGTTTCATTATTTCACGTGTGAGAATGTGAAGAGCTGATTTAAGTCAATATGAGGTGGTGTGGGATGCAATGGTAGGAAAACATCTATATCAATGGCTTTAATCAATTCTGTCTCCTTCTTTTGAACTTACAGGTGACCCTGCTCTCCTTCTCAGTTGAGTCAGAATTCACCTTCTTAGATTACATCAAAGGAGGGTGAGTGGGATTAACAATTTGCACACTTGAAGAAACCATCAAATGGCTTTTTGTTATATGGTTTTTCCATGCATTATGAAGATGTCAGGGATTGGAACATAAATCACCTTTAGACTGGCACCAAAGAGGAAAATCTTTCTGAGAGGAAGAAATACAGAGGACGTGGAGGGCAGTGTGCAAAAACATGCTGCAGGACTTACTATCTTATAGATTTAAAGCATTTTTATGTCTCTTTTTATTTATATTCTGACCACAATCATTAAAAATGACAGTAAATGGGTTAAATGACACAGACAAAAAGAAAACACATTCCACATGAATTCTCTGGAGAATGTGTTGTTGTCGTCACATTTAGGGCTCCTTTAGAGATTTTGAAGTGTCAGCTTATACATAAAGTCCTTCTGCAAAAAGTCTGCTCAGTCTGGCATTTGTGCTTTCAAGTTTTTCTGGTGTGTTTATGAAAACAGCTAATTAAAAAGTTACGTCCAGAATGAGTTCAGCCATGATCATTTCAGACGAATCAGGGACGTTTTACAAAAGAACTTTTTTAGTTTTTTCATTGAAAGGTAGGTGCACTTAGAAACGTACTTGTTCTTTGCGGAGTATGATCGGTCACCCTATTTCCAGCGTTAGCTGCAGAAAGAAAATAAATGGGGAAATTCTTGTGCCATAAAAAACCCCAGTTAGCTGTACTGTACGACCTGGAATGTACTTGCTGTTTAATGATGCATATGCATGTTTATTATTATTATTATTATTATTATTATTATTTTTATTCCCGTGTCCTGTCTGGCTGTGAAGCAAACAGAATTGATGTCTGAATGCTGGTGACAAGCCTTACAGATTTACTCTCAGGTGGAGCATCAAAGCGTCTGCTTTTAATGTCACGCCTGATACTTAAAACTTTATGGTTACTGTTCTTGAATGCTTTTTAATTCCGACCAGACATCTACGGTACAGCTGCTGTCTGTTTTCATGTTGTGATCTCAAAATGAACCAGTTACTGATCTCTTCTATTGACGCCATGTTTGTTTTGGTTGTACCTGCAAACTCGGCTCTCTGTCTGGTCTGAGTAACCTAGTGTGTCCCCTAGTGGAACACTCCAGTACTACATGCAGTGCAGTGCCATGCAGCAGCAAGTGTGTGAACAAAGACGCAAACTGCTGCCTGCACCAACGCGGCGTTAAAAGCAAGTATACTCCAGCCCTAAGCTAGCATTCATGGACTCACCAATCTTGGCTCGTGACGGGGAAGGCTGTTGATAGTTTAGTGTCCAGAAAAATACAGAAAATGCCTCGACTAGTAGAAGCTAACCATTAGCCTTAGCAGCTCCACAACATGGCAGAACTCCGTCAGGCTTGTGTTACTTGTCGAGGTAAAACATCAACGTTGCAGAACAGAGGCGCTAGAAAAGTTGTGTTTTTGTCAGCCAATCAGAGATGAGATGTTTGTATCTCATCATTATTATTGAGTAACACGAACCCTGCCATTTTCTGCCCTCCTCCCCTCTTCTGTAACAGGAGCACTAGAGCTTCTTTCACAGAGAACAACTCACAAGAAAGTCCTTCATACCAGTGACCACTGCACAATGTTTAAAATAATATTATTAAAGAGTAGGTCCTCTTTAAAAAAAACTATTTATGTTTGCTGCAGCGCCGCCCTCTCCACCCACCAGGTGATCCCTCCTTTTGGTGCATGTTTTCAAAATGAAAGTGTGGGTGGAGTAAAACTGGTAGGGGGGTGACTTGCTCTTTAAGGTATATCAAATATTGATGCTTACATAAGTTGAAGTTAAACTGTCATTACTCAGGTGTCAGGCTAGTTTGAACACTGCAGGTGGGTATTTGCCTATCGAGTATTTCTCAGGTAAAGTGCGGCTTTGATCTCAGCTGTCACTTCACAGCAGGAGGGCTGTCAGAGGGCTTTATGTCCTGTGGCACAGCTGACAAGTGTGACAGATTTTGCTGACAGTTATTGGCTTTAAGTTGATTTATGATATAATAACCTTAAGGTTTAGTGACCTCAGATAAAAAACAACATCATCCTCACCCAGACTGCAGCCTCACATTACTCTGGCACTTACTGGATAGAGTTAAATGGTACAAAGGCACAGGCTCCTAGGCTTTAGAAAGAGAAGATACTCAGAATGTTGTTCCACCTGCTGCTGCAGCTCTCATCTAACATTTAACTTTCGTTTTATTTGGCTGTGATTAAAATTAGCACTGATGACTTGCCGTATAATTAAACCAGAAGAATTCTGGAGTATTTAAATAGCAGCTGAAGACATCACCAGGCTGTGATTTTTTAAAATTATTATTATTGCCAGCTTTGAGGGTTTTGAACATGAAATGTTTAGAATTTCATGAGAGAACATCTCAGCATATTGATTCTGGTCCTGAGCCTTCCTGTCAGTTTCATGATTTGAATGAAATTACCCATTACCAGCCTTGAATGTAAATAAGAAGGGAGTTAAATCTTAATGACCGACGTGCCTGTTCATAGAACTCCTTTTGAGAGTAGACCTAAAGGTGTGTCTGCATTTATGATCCTTAAGATAAAGGCACCAAGAAAGTAGTTTTTTCATGTCATTACAAGAAAGTGTCAGGTGGGATCAATTTAAGAGCAAAAATGTCAACACCTGTAGCAATTTTTTTTAAATTTCTGCCGTTTAACAAAGAAAAACTAATTAAAAAAAACTAGAATTAACACAGATCTGTGATAGGTATGGTTTTCTAAACCTTTTTTAGATGCAAATAAGGTAACTTGTTACAAAACTCTACATGAATCAATCAAATAAAGCTAAATTAATACTTAGTCAAGCTGTATCATATTTTTTGTCTCCACACCAAGCTGAAAGGTCAATGTGAACCTTTTCTTCCCCTTCAGATATAATAAGAGGCTGTCGCCTGAGCTCCTCAAGGCCTCATATTGCTGCTGTAAATTAGCAAGATGAGGGGAAAGCTTCATCAGTGGGGAAAATTAGATTATGATTTCCTCTTTAAGTGCTCCATCAGTCTAATTGCTTGTTACCTGTTTCTGTGTCTCAAAGGCACCTCCTGCTTCTTATTGTGGAGGTGAAGCTCGGATGCATGAGATATAATCTCCTGAATCTGATTTCATAACTGATCAACCTTTTTCACAGACCAGAAACACCATTAAAATGTAAACTCACTCCTGCTGTAGCCAACAGTGTATTTTCTTCTTGTCACAACTCCAGTCTGAATAATTTCATAGTGAACTGTGCAAACACTTCTTACATCAGTTTCACATTACAAAGTTTTTGACTGATTTCTGCCCTTATTTGGAACAGCAAATGTCACTGGTGCAGCTTCCTGCCAGATTAACTGTGTAACATGAATTAATTGTAATGTAATGATATGGTATGTAAAATAACATTTACAAGAACCAAAGTGATATTATTGAGACTGGGGATGATTTAAGATGGATGCATTACCATTTGTGGTGTGGCTATAGCAGCTAGTAGCTGTTAGCACATAGCCCTTTTTACAAGACACCGTGCCAATCAGCGTAATATTACAGCAACGGCGTGTCTTATAAATGTGCCATGCCGGCACGGCAATGCACAAATTTTGCAGTGTTTGTTCCACCTCGCCTGTAGTAATATTGCGGTAGTTGTCTGTCTTATAATTGCACCTTGGCGCAACAGAGGGAGGTGTCATGATCATGTGGGGAGTTACTGCAGAGCTCCAGCGGCATCCATACTGAAAATGAAAGTAAAAATTGGCCATAAGTTTCACTGTTGTAAACAGAATCAGCTGAGACAGCAAAATGGAGCAATGTAGCACTCCAGGAGCTTCTCTCCGTTAGAACTGGAGCTCAGATCACCAGAAACTGCACGGGGACTGGGGGGTAGACATCTTTAGGAGCAGCTTGTTAAAAGAACTTAGTGATCTCAACTTCAATCACAAAAAAAAAGCAAGATAAAGTCTTTGGCAGCACAACGACCGCACCCATACCCCCACATGCCACCATCACCTAATCTTTTGTAAAAAGGACATGATTGTGCTACATTACAGCCACGGTCTGACAACTTATAAACAACCTAACGACAGGCTTAAAGTGACTATGTGTAGTTTTTACCATTCATCTCTGGAACTATCCATTGAAATGTTGATGTAAACAAATTTAAAAAGCTACACAGTTGTTGAAAAACATTGATGGTTTCATAAGACATAACCATAAAAATCAAGTCTAAAATACACGAAGCGGGTCTTAGTTTCTAGACGACGCCATATTTGATGTTTCCTTCTATGGAAGCCCACCAGGACAGAATTTATTTACTGATTTGTAACAAATGGTTACAAAACTTTCAGCATTAATAAACGTTGTTTTGCACATCTACCTCTTCACTCATTGCCAGTGATGAAAAGGAATCTGACGTTCTTGTTATTTTGCTGGAGGTTGTAATTCCAAGGATTTTTTACCCTAATGGCCATAATGCTTGCTTGCTATGATTTAGGTACCTACTTCCCCCTTTCGTCAGGGAAAATACGCACTGTCATTTTGAGGCTCCCTATATGCCGCCACGGCATTGCAGCAAATTGATGAAATTGTTTTAGAAAAGCGGCTTTTGTCAGAAATAACCTTTTATCAAAAGTGCTTCCAATCTAACGTGATACTTCTCTCTGAGCTTTATTTTGGAATAAACATAATTGTTTAATCATTTAGTAATTGTTAATCATTTGTTAATTGATTTTATTCTTGGCCGGCTGGGTGCTTGTCAGTTTTTCTATTTTAAAAAGGCAGAAAAGGGACGTCTTTGTTTACAATCTGTTCCACCTCCATACTTCCTGGTTCCAGAGCCAATCATATGTAAGCCTGTGAGGTTGCCTAGTTGCATCAGTAAAAGGAATGACTCAAAAGTAATTTCTTGTGCCCCGAAGAAGCCATGACATCTTTTGGTTTTACTCTAATATCAGGTAAAGAACCTTAGAGTCTAACATTGAGTATGCTAATGGTGAATTACACACAAAAAAAAGTTTGCTCTAAAAAAATCTCAGGCTACGTTATTTATTACAAACAACTTGCAGCTTACTGTGTATGACTCATCCTCACTCATCATCTAGAATCTTCTGGGGCTGATCTGTAGCTGGCAACAGTTGCTCAGAACCATTTGTTTTGATGCATGGACTGCAGTACCCAAATCTGACCACAGGATGTCATTTTTACTGCATGCACCTTTAATTCCACAGTGACATGTGTAATCTTACTTGTGTGTGGGTTTGACCTGACCGTGTACAGATTAATAATGGAATCTTCGCTTTTATTCGGTTTCATTTGCCCCTTCAGAAGCACCCTCTAGTTTGTCTTGCTGTAATATTCCAGGCAAAACAGCTTAAAGAACTTTTTTCCCCCCAGAAAAACATAACCTTGACCCACATATCCTTCTACTACTCAGGTTCCCTGCATAAGATAAATTAACTTTTGAATTGTTGGAAACAGGCGAAAAAAACCTGTAGTTTTTTTTGTTTAGATCATAAACTGACCTGATTTTTTATTCTGTTGTGTTGAATAAACTGAAATGATGTGCAAGTGTGAAAAACAACAATTAATTGTTTGTCTTGTGTATTAATAAATTTGTTGTGGTTGTGGTAAAAGGATTTATAGATTTTACCCCATATGGGAGATGATAAAACATATTATGCAATGCTTAAATGTATTTAAAAGAAAACAAGAAGCACAGATGTTAAAAAAACAAGCTTGGAATGTTGTTATTGCTGTCTGATCTCTGAAGTTGATTTAAAAAATGTTTTTTTTTAATCCCTTTCAGAACACAGATCAATTTCACTGTGGCCATTGATTTCACAGCATCAAACGGTGAGTGATGCGAGCACCAAAAAGTGTGTTTGGATGTAGAAGGGCAGGAATAGATAGTCGTACTCTTTGAGTGTGGCATGTCCAGTTTTAAAATCAATCTCACAACTAGGTAGTGCAGCCTCACAGACATAATATGTTCAATAAGGTAGAGGCTTCTCTGGAAGCATCTTTTTAAATGTTCTGTCGATAGTCAGCATGGGTATTTTATTCACATTTCAGTGTCATTTTCATTTTGGAGGCTTGCCCTAAAAAGGAGCACATGTAAATGAGATAAGGTGATATTAAATACATATATGCAGGTCAGAATGGTCAGTGTCTTTCCTTTTTCATTTTGAAATTATTTGTTTTGTTTCCTTTTAGTCGATTTTACATTTCTTTCCAGTCAAAGTCAGAATTGTTTTATTTAATTCAGAAAATAAATAGTTATAAAAAGTAAATAAATTACCTGCATTTGTAAAGCACACGCGCACACACACAATAGCCTTCATTTACATAAAATTGTACTCCTAAAAGTGGGGGTACATGTCCCCCCATAACCCCCCCCCCCCCCCCCCCCCCCCCCCCCCAAAAAATAGGAAGCCTGTGCCTTAAATGCTAGAAGAATGAAGATGGCGACACTAGAACAGCTGCTGAAAGATTTATTGCTGGATGGAGTTAGAGTACCAGGGCCACTTTATCCCTTTTTGTTGTTGCACATCCTGACCAGCACCATTTAACTGAGCATGATGCTAAGATTCTGTCAAACACTCCCAGAAATACCCCAAGAGAGTAATTTACACTAAGTGCCCCCATGATGAATGGGCATTTGAGAGGTTCGAGGTCAGTACACTGCAGCTCTCTTTTACAACGATCATGTTAATTATGATTAATGGCTACAAAAAATATTTTTTCACCATCATGCCCAAAGTACAAGGACTTGATGTTAGATTTCCACGTGAACACCATAACAACCTTCTGATTGATTATCCTGTCTGCAGGAAATCCCTCTCAGTCTACTTCATTGCACTACATGAACCCGTACCAGCTGAACGCCTACGCCATGGCCCTGAAGGCTGTTGGGGAGATCATTCAGGACTATGACAGTGACAAGATGTTTCCAGCTTTAGGTTTTGGAGCTAAACTGCCACCTGATGGACGCGTGTCTCATGAGTTCCCTCTGGTGAATCTTCATCACACCATAGATAATTCATGCATGCTTATGTCGTCGTTGTCGTCGTCTTCCTCCGCTTATCCGGGTCCGGGTCGCGGGGGCAGCATCCCAACTAGGGAGCTCCAGACCGTCCTCTACCCAGCCTTCTCCACCAGCTCCTCCGGCAGGACCCCAAGGCGTTCCCGGACCAGATTGGAGATATAACCTCTCCAACGTGTCCTGGGTCGACCCGGGGGCCTCCTGCAGGCAGGACATGCCCGAAACACCTCTCCAGGGAGGCATCCAGGAGGCATCCTGCCCAGATGCCCAAACCACCTCAACTGGCTCCTTTCGATCCGGAGGAGCAGCGGTTCTCCCGAATGTCCAAGCTCCTCACCCTATCTCTAAGGCTGAGCCCGGCCACCCTACGGAGGAAACTCATTTCGGCCGCTTGTATCCGCGATCTTGTTCTTTCGGTCATTACCCAAAGCTCATGACCATAGGTGAGGATTGGGACGTAGAACGACCGGTAAATCGAGAGCCTGGCTTTCTGGCTCAGCTCCCTCTTCACCACCACAGATCGGCTCAGCGTCCGCATCACTGCAGACGCCGAACCAATCCGCCTGTCGATCTCCCAATCCCTCCTACCCTCACTCGTGAACAAGACAAAGAGATACTTAAACTCCTCCACTTGAGGTACGACCTCTCCCCCAACCCGGAGTTGGCAAGCCACCCTTTTCGGGTCGAGAACCATGGTCTCAGATTTGGAGGTGCTGATCCTCATCCCAGCCACTTCACACTCGACCAAGAACCTACCCAGCAAGAGCTGAAGGTCAGAGCTGGATGAAGCTAGGAGGACCACATCATCCGCAAAAAGCAGAGACGAGATTCTCCTGCCACCAAACTCGACACACTCCACACCACGGCTGCGCCTAGAAATTCTGTCCATAAAGGTAATGAACAGAACCGGTGACAAAGGGCAGCCCTGGCAGGGTCCAACCCTCACCGGGAACAGGTCCGACTTACTACCGGCTATGCGGACCAAACTCACACTCCTCTGGTAAAGGGACTGAATGGCCCTTAACAGAAAGCCACCCACCCCATACTCCTGGAGCGTCCCCCACAGGGTGCCCCTGGGGACACGGTCATAAGCCTTCTCCAAATCCACAAAACACAACTATCGATCGGACCCTCCTCTCCAGTACCTTGGAGTAGACCTCTCCAGGGAGACTGAGGAGTGTGATCCCCCTATTGTTGAAACACACCCTCAGGTCACCCTTCTTAAAGATGGGGGCAACCACCCCGGTCTGCCACTCCACAGGAACTGCCCCCGATGACCACGCAATGTTGCAGAGATGTGTCAACCATGACAGCCCTACAACATTCATAGCCTTGAGATACCCAGGACAAATCTCATCCGCCCCCGGGGCTCTGCTGCTGTGTAGTTGTTTGACTACCTCAGCAACTTCTGCCCCCGAAATTGGACAGTCCATCCCCAGGTCTCCCCGCTCTGGTTCCTCCTCGGAATGCGCATATGTGGGATTGAGGAGCTCCTCAAATTATTCCTTCCACCGTCCGACTATAGCCCCAGTTGACGTCAGCAACTCCCCATCCCCACTGTAAACAGTGTGAGCGAGTTGCTGCCTTCCTCTCCTGAGGCGTCGGACAGTTTGCCAGAACCTCTTTGGAGCCGATCGATAGTCTTTCTCCATGGCCTCACCAAACTCCTCCCATGCCCGAGGTTTTGCCTCAGCAACTGCCACTGCTGCACCCCGCTTAGCTATCCGGTACCTGTCTGCTGCCTCCGGAGACCCACAGTCCAGCCACGCCCTGTAGGCCTCCTTCTTCAGCCTGACGGTTCCCCGATCCTCTGGTGTCCACCAGCGGGTACGGGGGTTGCCACCACGACTGGCACCGGCCACCTTGCGAACACAGCTAGCAACAGCCGCCTCAACAATCGCAGAGTGGAACAAGGCCCACTCGGAGTCAAAGTCCCCCACTGCTCTCAGGACGCAGTCAAAGCTTTGCCGGAGGTGGGAGTTGAAGACCGTCTTAACAGGTTCTTCTGCCAGGCATTCCCAGCAGACCCTCACTATGCGTTTGGGTCTGCCAGGTCTACGCGGCATCTTCCCCTGCCATCTGATCCAACTCGCCGCCAGGTGGTGATCAGTTGACAGCTCCGCCCCTCTCTTCACTCGGGTGTCCAAAACATACGGCCGCAGGTCAGATGATACGACTACAAAGTCTGTCATCGACCTGTGACCTAGGCTGCCCTGGTACCAAGTGTACCGATGGGCATCTTTATGTTCGAACATGGTGTTCGTTATGGCCAAACTGTGGCTTGCACAGAAGTCCAATAACGAAACACCACTCGAGTTCAGATCAGGCTGGCCATTCCTCCCAATCACACCCCTCCAGTTCAAGCTGTCATTGCCCACGTGAGCATTGAAGTCCCCCAGCAGGACAATGGAGTCCTCTGATGGTGCACTATCTAGCACTCGTCCCAGGGACTCCATAAAGGGTGGGTACTCTGAACTGATATTTGGCCCATAAGCACAAACAACAGTCAGGACCCGTTCCCTGACCCGAAGGCGCAGGGAAGCTACCCTCTCGTCCCCCGGGGTAAACCCCAACACACAGGCAGAGAGTCTTGGGGCTAAAAAAAAGCCACCCCAGACCTCCGCCTCTCACCCGGAGTAACTCCAGCAAAGGAGAGTGTCCAACCCCTCTCAAGGACTTGGGTTCCAGAGCCAATGCTATGTGTCGAGGTGAGTCCGACTATATCTAGCCGGTACCGCTCAACCTCTGCCACAAGCTCCTGCTCCTTCCCCGCCAGCGAGGTGATGTTCCATGTCCCAAAAACCAGTTTTCTTGTGCATGCTTATGTGTCACCTCCATATCCATTTATTTTTATTTCAGGTATAAATTGCCAATTGTTCAATTAATTATCTATAATCTAGATCAGGGATGCTCAATCCGAGTCCTGGAGGGCCGTATTCATTTCCGTTGTTCCTCTGCTCCAACACAAAGTGGCTGAATCACCTGTTCAGCAGCTCATCGGCCTCTGCAGAAGCCTGTTAATCAACTGCTGATTAAAAGTATGTGTGTTAAAACAGGGAAATAACTAAAATATGTTGGATACTGACCCTCCAGGACCAAGACTGAGCAACCCTGCGCCAGGTTTTAGAGTTGTTGCGGAGGACCTATGATCAAAACCAGTTAACTGTTTCTAATTGGACTTCATACAAATTAGGAGAAAAGCCTCTTTGATTTTAAAGATGTTTCACTTTTCACCCAAAGAGATTTCTTAATTCAAACCAAAAAATGTAGACGAACATTAAACTGGAGCCAGCGCTTCATTAATGCAAGCTAGTTTGCAAATCAAATCTCTTGGATTTTCTTTCCTGGTGGTCATTAGGGTCTTCGTTGTCCATTTGTGAAATGTTTTAATCACATTCCTAATGGTATAGATTACTGAGGAACCACATGGGGTTTATATTCAGGACTGCATTAAAAGTGTTGTAGATCAGTTTGCAGACTAGCTTTCATTAACAATGCTCTTACAGTTTGAAAATGTGTGAAGTGCTCGTGACGGTTCTCATTGTCAATTCTGACTGGAATATGGGAGAGTCACGCTTACAAAGTGTAGAGGAGGAGGCCTCAGGTTTAAGCTTTCCAGCACCTACAATACAACTCTAAACCTAATTCCAAAACAGTGTCAGTCTAGGTCACACCCTTCTCCATCTAATCAAAACAACCATTCTAACACAATAGGACCTAACGACATTGATGACTCATCAGGTGGGTAGGCAGGAGGGGTATTCATATATAATTTCAGCTCATTAAGCAACAATAGACATCTACAGTTTAAAAACTTGACTCTCCCTTATTCCAGTCAGAATTGACAAAGTTTTGAGTTTTATAGGAAAATTATTTTCAGAAATGAAGTGAAACACCGTCAGGGACAAAAAGTAATCCTGTTGCCCTTTTGTGGACCTAGGATCATCTTTCCCCAATATTTACCAGCATGTTTACACAGATAATGTAACAGTTTTTACATTTTTTAAATTAGAACCATGACATTGCTTCTCTGTCTTTTCAGAATGGAAACATGGAGAATCCCTACTGCAATGGTATTGAAGGCATCTTAGAGGCGTACCATCAAAGCCTAAAGACGGTTCAGTTATACGGGCCGACCAATTTCGCCCCTATAGTGAACCATGTTGCCAGGTTTTTACAACTATTTTTAAACACATTTAAAAATCAATACCAGATTGTGTTACCAGATTCCCCTTCATCCTTGTTTATGGTGAAATTTATTCAACCCTGATTCATCCAGTGCCCTGAAATGATTGCAACTTTTTCATATTTTTAAATAATTTTCTTGAGCCAGTTTGTGCTAAAATGACCCTTTACATGGTTAATGAAAGGCCACCCAGCACCTATCGCCTGCTGTGTCCAGAATATTCCACTTGCAAATTCTGCGGGCCACTAGGGGGTGCTAAAAGCAAGCAAAAACGGCCTTGTATCCCTTTAAAAGTAATATTTTCAAATCTACAGTAACACATCTCTAAATGTTTATTTTTATTAGTTTAGGTGCTGATCTAATATAAGCAAAACTTTGTAAACATTAAATGATTTAGAGATTTTTTCACTTTGTTGTTCTGGTTAATACTGGGCTATTTTAATGAGTGCCATCAATAAAATGATGAGATGATAAAAACTCCTGGTTTGTTGTCATGAATTATAATTTCATTCATGTTTTAGTTTAAAAAAACACAACTGTTTGATTTTACCTGTGTTTGCAGATACGCAGCAGCAGTGCAGGATGGATCTCAGTATTTTGTCCTCCTCATCATCACGGACGGCGTCATTTCGGACATGGCCCAAACCAAAGAAGCCATTGTAAATGTAAGAAAAAACAGGTTTTTTATTGCGTCTTTGCATGCTAGACATGCCTTGTTTTCGAGAAAATGTTGCTACTCTGTCATAAAGAGACACAGCTATGTTTCATTCACAGAAAGATGCATTTATAATGAGTAGATGTGTATCAAAATAAAACAGATGTTTTGGTATGTTTATTAAATTGTCACATACAGTACTAAAATCCTCCATCAGGGGGCAAAACACAGGTTAAAAATCAGAAGGTTTGAGAGGAAAGTACTAATGCTGTTTTAGAGGTAGGGCTCTTTAAAGTTGGCAAATTAATGTAGTTCGTCCATCTTTGTTTTTAAAATGAATATAATTTGAAATAATTTCAGTCAGTATATAATAGTTTGTTTGCTAGATTTGTATTAATGATTGCACATTATTTCATTATTTTGGAGGTAACTTGATCAGAATTAGACTATTTGGCTCTCTTATTATCTCTGGATTCACGCAGGCTTTGCAGCTGTCACACCTCAGCAGGAGACAAGTGACAAATCCAGCTTCTGTGTGCAGATTCATAAGCCCGCATGTGGTGACTTCACGTAGGAATAAAATCCAAAGTAATTGTATTTTTGTTTTGTTGCTTTTGATTTATTTATTTCTGACATATCAAACCCATTAAATAGACTTTCCTTCTTTCAAGCTATAGATTATTTTTTACCCTCCACACGACTCAAGAGCTACAATTCAGTTGAAAAGGTTTCGTAAACAAAACGAAGATTTACTCCTGACAGTTTTTTCTCCAACTTGTCCTCACTCCTGTTTTTTTCCTTCTAGCTGTAAAAAACAGATTGCATCTGTCCTTTGTTTTGCTCTCTCCTTCCCTTCTGCACTCCGCTTCCTCCTCTTTTTCCCGCCGCAGGCACAGAACACCCAGCAGACTGGATTTAAAGGGAATTTGCGACTGTTAGTCAAAACATAAGAACAGCCACACCTTCCTTTTAAGATCTTGCCTGCTGCTCTGTCTCACTGCCTCCAGTCCTGGGGTCTACTGATGCTTGCTGCTTCCACCGCTTTTCGCTTTAGCTCTCCACGGGTGGGGTGGAAGGAGGACAGGGTGCTGAGGTTAAGCGAGTCGTTCCTCATACTAATTCATGCTTGAAGGTATGTTCAGAAGATACTTGAGAAGCACTCACTAAGCTTGAATGTGCCATGCAGCTCCACGCCAGGACATTTTGTTTGTATCAGAGGAGTGAAGAAGAAAACAGATATCCACCTGGCCATCACCCAGCAGCCTCTTTTTCATTTGTTTTCTCTCTTTGAAATAGATTCCCTCACTCACAAATGAAAAGATTTGTTCTCTTTCTCGGCACACTAAAAGATCTAAATCTCCTGGTCTTCACACTCCAGTCACCACATTCAGTCAGTAACAAACCCCACAGCTGCCTTTATTTATTTTTCTTTCCTTCCTCATCTTCTTCTGTTATCCGTGTGCATTTAGTGCCACATCTAATAAGGCCCTCAACATTACTTCACTTTACCTTTGCTCACCTTGTAATAAATTAAATTGCCACATTTCGCTTTAGATTTTTCAAACTGGAAGCCAAACGGAGACGTGAGGAGGTGACATCAAGTTTAAGAACTGCTGACTCCTGCACACGTTATTCCAGAGATGGATTTGCCTTCATGTGTGAATTTAGAATCATTTAATTGTGTTTCACGTATTTCAGTCTTCATGATTCTTCACACCAGCATGCATACACATCTCACATAGCAGCTTTGTGGGTCCTGATTCAAAAGAAAAGCCTAATTATCATATAAATAAACAGATTTGTTACCTGTGGTGTTGACGCTCTACCTGTGTCTACATGCTCACTGTGTACACCGACACAAAATGCTCCTGGGGATAGAGTAGCTCAGCAGATGCTACACAAAACCTGGCTCAGATATCGGCTTTAAGTAACAGTCGTAATGTAGTCGAGGTGTCATGTAATTGTCAAATTACATCTGCAACAGCTGTTACTTTATTTTCAGTTACTGTTTTATTTTTAATTCACTAAATAAAATAAAAAACTCTGAATCTGTGGAATCTCAGAAATGCTATTAAATGGTGCATTCATTGGGTCAGTTTATAACAGAAAAACTAACTGAGGAACTGCTGTTTTCTTCTGTGACGTATCTGGTCAGAATTATCATTTTCCTCTTTGGTGTCCTTCTCAAACAGAGAAAACTGTAAAAGTCCTGAATAAATGTTTATTCCTTATATTAGAAACTAAGATGTGACTCTACCTTCTAGCTGGATGTGATTGTATTTTTTGTCTGATAATTTCAATGTTTATCAGGACAAACAAGGAAAATTAGAAGAGTTATAACATACAACGCTTAGATTAAAATGACACAATAGCTCAAATGGTAAATGGTAAATGGCCTGTATTTGATATAGCGCCTTCTAGAGTCCTGGAACCCCCAAGGCGCTTTACAACACAATCAGTCATTCACCCATTCACACACACATTCACACACTGGTGGGAATGAGCTACGATGTAGCCACAGCTGCCCTGGGGCGCACTGACGGAGGCGAGGCTGCCGAGCACTGGCACCACCGGTCCCTCCGACCACCACCAGCAGGCAACGTGGGTTAAGTGTCTTGCCTAAGGACACAACGACAGACTGAGCGGGGCTCGAACCTGCAACCTTCAGATTACGGGGCAAGCTCTTAACTCCTGTGCCACCGTCGCCCAAGCAAGTTTTATTTCTGGGAAAATTTATTGAACAAAAGTAGATTGTAGAGCTAATTTTACGAATCTAACTGTGTAGTTTTAATTAAAGATACATGTGACTTTTTTTTAACAAGTGAAAGTTGTAAGCATACATTTTTTGTACTTTTTGCAGGTTTACATTCCAATTTTTTTTTACGGTACCAAGTTTCACAAACTAATAATTTAAAACAGTACTTTTAGAGAAGAGAGAGCTGAGCCAGAAGGCGAAGCTCTCGGTTTACCGGTCGATCTACGTTCCAACCCTCACCTGTGGTCACGAGCTATGGGTAGAGAAAGAACAAGACCACGGACACAAGCAGCTGAAATGAGTTTTCTCAGCAGGGTGGCTGGGCTCTCCCTTAGCGATAGGGTGAGAAGCTCGGTCATCCGGGAGGGGGTCAGAGTAGATCTGCTGCTTCTCCACATTGAGAGGAGCCAGTTGAGGTGGCTCAGGCATCTAGCTAGGATACCTCCTGGACGCCTCCCTGGTGAGGTTTTCAGGCATGTCCAACTTGGAGGAGACCTAAAGGTAGACCCAGGACATGCTGGAGGGACAATGTCCCTCGGCTGGCCAGGAAACGCCTTAGGATTTCCTCAGAGGAGCTGGCCCAAGTGGCTGGAGACAGGGAAGTGTGGCCTTTCTGTTTAGGTTGATGCCCCCGCAACCCGACTCTGGATAAGCGGACGAAATATGATGGATAGACGGATATTTTTAGAAATGTTATCAGAAGCAGTGCAATGTACGAGTAACGTGTTACACAGCACGAACAGAGCACAGTTCAATTAATTAGTCTTGAAATGTTGGTTTTATTTGCCGTTTCAGGCAGCTGGTTTTTAATCAAGTCTGTTGGGGGACATTATTCTCCTCAGCTGGCAGGTGAACCATGGGCATTTGACTGGAGGTGGAGCTTGGGGGTGGCTTGGCGGGTAAATGAGGATGGCTGCTGTACTCACCGATGCTGGCACCTCCTCCCCTCCTTCTCCTCCCGGCTCATCCATCTGCTGCAGCATAAGACCTTATCAAGCTGTTTGCTAACAGATTTGTTCATTTAATTTTCTCCTGCCTCTTACAGTGTTTGCAGCTTACAGTTCGATATTTTGTCCTGATGGGATGTGAGTTGTGAGATAAAATCCTAACATGGTGTAAAGCATGGTTTACATGAATAACTCTTGTTGTTTAGATTAGCTGTGGGGATGTTAGCAACAAAAAAAATGCTGTCCCGCCATTTTATATGACCTTGTTACTGTTGGCAGTGAGTCTAATCCAACATCCAGGGTGAGATAACTTCCATTCAGACTGCTGTACCCAGATAAGTGACGGGGTGCATTTAGCTGGGAGAAAACAAATTAAGGTCCATAAAATATCTGGAAAAGCAAACAGGTTGAGCTTCGGCTGAGCATGTCACCATGTCAGCCTCTTTATCATACTGGTTTCCTTCGACTGCACATTAAAGGTATTTTGAGCCATAAAATGTTCAAATAGAATGACATTGGCGTGATTGTAATTAAAAACATTACAAATAGCACTAAAATGCAATGTGAAGTTGAGCTTTCACATTAATTGGTAAACATTTTTATCACAGATGAGAAAAATGTCATCACTGTTGTCTTGATTTTTTCACAGGCTGCCAAGCTTCCCATGTCCATTATTATTGTTGGAGTGGGCCAGGCCGAGTTTGATGGTACAATATCTTTATTTTCTAAATGCAGCAGCCATTGAGTGATGAACATTTCAATTATTTTCCACAGAAATGAATAAAAAGAAACATTGTCTTTACTAATTGTGTTAGATTAAGAGGTTCTAAAAGCAGCCTTTTATTTGCAGATGTCAGTCTTAGCTCCTCTTTCCTTCCTCTGCATAAGACCTTTTAGCAGATACTTTGACTTGCTTTAGTAGAAAAGGAACAGGTGTGTTAAAAAGGGCTGCATTCCTCATCTGCAGGTATGCATGTTAGTTTTCTGTAAAATTGTTAATGAGCATAATCTTTTCTGAATGGAATGTAGCCCTTGTTGTCTATAACAAGGGCTACATATCTACTGTATGTTGTCTGCTAGAAAAATGCTCCATTCAGAGTTACACTTCAGTTCCACTGGGTGGAATGGTCTGGGTTGGACCCCCTTACCCATCCCAGACCCCTCAATGGAACCAATGCTTAGAAGTACTGTTTTAAAAGTAAAAGAAAGAAAATCACAGCCTACTGCAGAGTCTGCATGATGATGAACGATTTACTAACCATCTAAAATAGGTGCAATATGTAAGAATGAAGTAAGAATGGCATCTTGTGGTCAAATCTGGTTACTGCAGCCCAATTTTCCGAACAAAAAGTGACTTATTGCACACTGGAAGCAAATGCGGTGCACAACGGTGGCAGAAAGGTTTACTCGCGATGCTCACAGCACTCAAGTGCGCACTGGGAGAAAAGCAGCGAAGCGGCTTCTCTGCTGTGCTCCTCCCTCGACTCACGAGATCACAAAATCCTTCAAGACTTCTTCCAACCTCCTCGCGAGATCACACAATCCGTCAAGACTTCAAAGGTTACATTTTGTTTATGAAATCCGCCATTAAACCAAAAAGAAGGAAATCACATGTGATATCACTGTTTGACATCATATATGACGATGTTCTAGCCTAGTGAACTAGACCAAATTCTTGCTTTGCAAAGAATGGTCTAGGCATGCTCCATTGGAACCTCAGCAGCTCCTACCAGGACTCTGGCTAGCCAATCACAGCTCTCTAGAGGGGTTTCAAACACATAAAGAGCTGTGATTGGTCCATAATGATGGGCAGTCATAGTGCTCTATCTGCTTAGTGAACAAATCACAGAGCTTTATCCACTTTGTGGGCCAATCAGGGCACTCTATATGCCTGGTGGGTGGGATGATGCAACAGAGTGAAACAAGAGTATGTCACATTCACTGTCCAGTGGAATGCGGAGATCATTTGAAAGACAACGGTAGAACCCGCCCCACAACCGAGAGCCATCAATGGAGCATGGCCAGACTAAATAATACATTTATTTATAAATGTATTATTTAGTCTGGCTTGCCAGGCTAACGATGTTCCTCTCCATGGCCAGGAGTAAAGCCATGAAAACGTACACCGCTGCACATCTGGAACAATGCTGTGAGTAAATAAGACGTTAGGTCACACGTAAGCCTCATATATATGAAATTGCATAGCTGCAATACTTTTATTTTGCAAAATACCAGGGATTTTACACTGAAATTGTGAGTGATTTCCTGCCTAGCTCTATGTTAACTGCAGTAATTGACGCATCCCAGAAGCGGCTCGCAGAAAAAATAGAACCCGATCCTGTTTTTAGTGGTGCGGTGCCTTCCTTAGACTATATTGGATTCTATTTGAAGCGGCGCCGTTTCACTGCCGTTCCGCACTGCTTTTGCTTCCAGTATGCAGTAGGCGTGAGCTTGCTGGAGACATGCCAACTTCACAAACTAACTCACTGTAAATGGTAATGTCACTGTTGTTTTTAAAGGAGAAAAACTGACAAACCCCCAGCTGGCTGAGAAGGAAATCAGTTTCAGTGTTACCTTACTTCCATTATGATTGAGACATTAGACAGTTCACTGATTATTTGAATGTAGAATTCTTACATATTGCTTCTTTAATTATGTCTCAGTTTTAAATTTACGTTATTTCATTCATTGGTCACCAATCTCTCCTTGAATTATCATAAATTTCAATTTATTTTGGAAAGAAAGAAAATTTAAAAAGGAACTAAACGTGTTTGAGATATTTGCAGCTATGTATTATTTTGAAAGGAAATTTGTTGCAATTGTCTTCAAATATTAACGTTTGTGTAAACACAAGATGGAGGCCCATTTATCCTCATGAATGTTGTAAGACTCTCAGGAAACTTCCTGATGGAAACCGTTCACCATTGTCACCAGCAGCTTCATCCCAGTGAGATAATGGTTTCATATTAAATGAAACATACACATCTCTAAAGAAATGAGAGAAACACCTACATGTTGCTGTTGCTCTAAAAAAAATAGAAAAAGTTAAGCTGTCCACAGAATAGTACACCACCTTTAATGCGTCATACGTTCCATGCAAATCACTTCCATGGAAGTCTGTTTGTTGTTTGTCAAAGAAAGATTCTGCTCAGCGTGCTAAAATAAATGAAAACATCAATAAAAATCCAACCCATTTTTTATAGTAACCACTAAAGCTAAAGTTGTTGGCAGTCAATCAAAAGGAAAATTACTGTAGAAACTTGTCAAAGTCAGGAGGGAAAGAGGATGCGTAGGTGGACACAGATATAATTGTAGAAGGGATGGTTGAGGTTAATTGGTGGGTTTGCAGTGTTTAGAGCAGCTGATTCTAAATTACACAGACTAAAATAAAGGACTTATTAGTTGATTAGATGCAAAATGAAGACTGCATGGTTCGACATTTTTCACGTTCAACAATGCTTTAAGGGTAACATCATCAAACCGTTCCTCGGTTAAGGCAACAGAATCTAATGCTGTGATCTTGTGTCTTCCAGCTATGGTGGAACTGGATGGCGATGACATCAGGATCTCATCCCGAGGGAAGCTAGCAGAGAGAGACATTGTTCAGGTGGCTGCCTTTTAGATTCTTTAGCAACGTGGAAATCTGACAAGATGTGGAGTTTCTATTTTAGTGATTAGATCCCAATTTGTAGGCAAGTGCTTTCATAGTCCATAGTTTTGCTTTGGCATGTCACATTCACTGATGTGCAGGTACGTCAACACACCGTCTGTTCATAGAGTCAGATGAGGACAAATTTGATTCCAATGAATCACATCAAGACAGGCATGGAAAATGTTTCATATTTTGTCACTCAACGAAACCTGTTGTCTCTAGACACCAGTCAGGCTGTTTCAGCAACAGCGAGCTGTCATCTGTCTCCATCAGAGGTGTCAAAACTCAGTATGTAATTGTGTTGTGAGCAAATGACGATGTGGAGAGTTTCTAAAATCCTTTTTAGCTGAGGTGAGATTGATGTTAGTGTTGTTATGTGCTATTGACAGTAGTGGATATTCCTTTGGCTCTTCCCTATTGGATAAATAGATCACAAGTTGAGATTTAGTTGTTTCTGACCTGCAGTTTCTATATTTCACAGAACACAAAAAGATGCTTTGTACCGGTCCTAGAATCTAAAACTACATTTACCTTGTTGTTGTTTAAAAGGCAGCTTGGCATGTATAATGTAGCATACCGAAAAGGCTGTGCTGTGATAAGTAATGTCGCTGAGAAACGGTTCATTCTGAGTGAAACTGGTGTTGACCAATCTGCTATCACAGTTTGTGTTTAAAAGCTAGCTTGTTTTGCAGATTTGCCATAGCAGCTGCGACACATAAGCATAGACACACACCCTTACATTTGCATGTCCCAATCAGGGGCCAGATATTTTTCGTATTTGACTGTTTTTTTAAACGATGACGGAAAAATCTGAAGGCTGTCCGCCATTTTGACAGATTGCATATGCACCCTGACTCATGCTAGTGGGCACACAGTTTAAATGTTACACACAGTGTGCATCGCAGAGGTAACAAAATCAACAAGGAAAACATTCCCATCAGAGCTTATTATCTCACACTTGGACATCATTGTCAATGCATCTTGCTATTGACAGCACGCTCAAGTGGACAGCACCCTGAAGAGCTATGGACGGGAGGCTTTGGAGCGCATCTGTGACAGACCGGTGCAATGGAAGCACCGGTGCACACGAGTGCATGCGGGACATAAGGAAGGGTATCCTCAGGCAGCAACATAGGGTTATTGGGGTAAACCGGCCAATCAGGATGTAGCTTACAGTATTTAATATTCATCTCCTGGCTGAGTGGGTGGGGTTAACTAGTCTTTTCATTGTAATGCTTCATTATGCGGTTGTGTTTGGTCATCTATAAGGGAACATTTTGAGCCCCAACTAAGTTTCATGTAGAGGCATAAAGAACAGTTTCCAGCTCTAAACGAAAAACTCTTCTAGTATATCTTTAAAGAGCAAGTTACCCTCTACCAGTCTTACTCCACTCCCATGTCCTGTTCAAAAAATGCGCAACAAGAAGGCGTTTCCTGGTAGCCTGAGAGGGCAGATCCGCTAAAACACACACACACACAGGCTTACAATGACATTGTGACATCATATGGTACCAGTTACTGTCATGGGGTATCTCTTAGCCAATAGCGATGGTAGATTTAAATTCAAATGTAGTGCAGAGTTTTTACCTGAAGAGCGTGCAACACTGACAGTTTTAGTCAGAATATTTAAATTTCAACTAAGATGCACTAAAGTGACACATTATTGACAACACTTGTCTACAGAATGATGAGACACTCATTTATAAAGTTTGTAAGCAAAAAAAGTTGATTTTGATTTGAAGTATTTTTATTGGATTTATCACACAATCATGAAATTATAATTTCATGTTTATTTTTTGCGTTCAGTTTGTCCCTTTCAGAGACTACATGGACCGGACAGGGAACCATGTATTAAGTATGGCGCGGCTCGCCAAAGATGTTCTAGCAGAGATCCCCGACCAGTTCATCTCCTACATGAAGAGCCGAGGAATCAAACCCAACCCTGCACCGCCTCCCTACACACCACCTGGACACACACACCACCACACACAGATCTGAGGCCCTGTTCGTTGCTTCTGAGAACTGATAGCATGCAGCAGCCACTCTAGAGTCCAGTGGGAACTCTCTACCTCCTGATTTTTTGGTGTTCATGGGAAGCAGGGCACCATGATATGGGTGTACAATCTTGTGCTGTACCCTCCCAGTGACTACAGCAGCAGAACCCCGTTGTTTTATGTTTTTTTTTTTCTTCTGTAATACATTTCTTTGGAGCCTTTCTTCAAATAGGGGGTTGACCAAACTTTTCAGGACTTGTTGGTAAAAGCCTTTTGGGCAGTGACTGTTTCACGTCTGATCTGACAGCAAGTTGCTTCACAAAGGTCATGTTGTGGTTAAAACTTGTGCCTGTCTGTAGATGTTTCTCTCAGTGTTTGAGGACGTACAAACCTGATCTAGGCCTTGCTCGTCAGTCATTGGTGTGGCCTATTACAGTAATATTTCATAGGCACCTTCTCGAATAAGTTTTTATATTAGAGGAAGATTTCCATATCAGTTATGATGCTTTTTACCACCCACCACCACCTGTCTGCTTTATTAAGTAAATGTTTATATGAGCATGTTGTATGAGAAATGAAATCCCATAATCCAGTGTTTATTCTCAGATGTTTAAGCATGATAGGTTTATTTAAACGCACCATATCCAACCTAATCCATTTGAAGCAGTTAAACATTCATAACGACTGCATTTAAAAGCCTGCACACTAATTATTGATTGTACCAGGTTAATCACATTCCATCCCTTTGAGTGCTGCTACTCAATCATTTTTAAGAAAGTACAACATTTATTCACAATGGCCAAAATGTTTTGCACTACGGCTATAATTTATGTTAAACATTCATGAAAATTGTTGCATTTTCACTTTGACTCAATGCAGATGCATTTCAGTCACAGGGGAAGCTGCTCATTATGGCATGAACTATTTTATTTATTATACTTTTGAAGCATTAAACCCTCCAACCTTCCCAGCAAATGAGTTTTACTGCTAATAAATATTTCTGAATGTGTGTTCAGCCAGGGGTCAGAAACTTGTTTAGTAAGAAAATAGGTTGTCGTCCATTTTTCTGTTAAATTACAGTTTATAATATATGGAATTAAATTAATAATTTAACTACCTAATGAAAGTCTATTTTGTATAACAGATTTTTAATAAGACTTAGTAATAACCTCTGAAGCTGAAACATTAGTGGTCACTCACCAGTAGTTATGTGGCCTAAAGGATCATAAAACCAACCTTGGAAATTTTGATTATGATAGAGCAGTTCTTTCTCCCAGTGTTTAACTGGGACTGTAACAGTCGAAGGTTAAACTTTCTAATAATGTGTCCGCTGCATTCAGAATGTCTGATTACCAATTTTCATTTAAAGTGGCCCTGTGTAGTTTCCTGCTGCTCGGGGGCAGTACATACATTTCAGGTTAGTTTGACACCATGTTGCTGTGACTGTCGCTAGTTTGAACAAAAAAACATTATGGTAAATGTTGCTGCCTGTGGAGCAGAAAGCATGGGACCTCGGGGTGACTCCTCAGACTTTGATGATCCTTCAGTTAATCCATCTAGAGAATGCAATGCTGATGCTAGTTTTCTGGTGCTATAGTTTCCGAATTTGCTCGGGGTCCTGCGCCTGTTGATGATGTCATCACGCCACAGCAACGCTGCTCAGCCAAAATATATTGCATCTGTTTTTCGATTATGTTCGTTCACATTGGTTTTGGAAAGAGTCTAGTTTTGTTGATAAATTCACTCTTCTTTCTGCCCAAATATTACTGAACATGGTAACATAACATCTGTAAGTTGCACGTTCAGCCAGTCATCTAGTTTGACATCATCAACAGGCACGGGGCTCCAACCCGACCAGAAGGGAACATGATGTCTAATATGGCGTCCCCCAAAGACGCTAGACCCGCACCCTATGTACTTTAGACCCAATTTTTATGGCTATATGTTACAAAGCCGCCGATGTTTATCAACAACTGGGCATAATTTTATTCATTTTCAACAACGATGAATATTTTGAGAGATTGATGGTAAAAACTACACATTGTCTCTTTAAGTTCTTTTCAAAAACATTTAGTTTGTCCTGTGGAAGCAGTGGCCTACCCATTAAAGGTAAAGGAGGGGAATGATTAGCTCTGAGCATTCAAAAAGCACACAAGCCAAGGCCATGGTGGATTATTAATAAGTTAATTACTACTATTGTGTTCTTAATGTGGGAGCATAGTGGCAGTGCATCCATTATGAGCTGTAGTGGCTTTATCGCTGTTAAAAGACAGAGAACACCATGAACCTGATCGATTTGTAGATCCAAATTTGTGAGAAGAAAAAAAAATCTATTGCTGTTTCCAAAACTGTTTGCAATAATTGTGTAATTTCAGCCAGGATGGCAGATTGTAATCCAACATTATAAATCAATATTTCATCTTCATTTCAGGATTCAGGCGCATCTAAAGGCTTATACAGATTATTTTCAGTTAGTATAAAATGGCTCCTCCATTCCTAAAGGTTGCAGACTCCTGTTCTAGTGTAATAACAAAACACTTGGAAGCTTGTTGCTAAAGTATAAAGCCCGGAACAATTTCTAGCTGGTAATTCCTCAGCAGCACCATGGTAGCATCTCCCTGAAGGAGGTTTTGCTGCAATAGTGACAGATTGAAGTCTTAATCCAGCATTAAGTGGAGCCAACATCCTTGCTATGTACAATCATGCCACAAGTATTGTTTGCAGTTCTGTAAATGACAAACTCATGAGATAACTTATTAAGTAATAAAGCTACAAAAGACTACTCAAAAGGGAAATCTGACAAACTTAAAATTTCATTTTATTCGATGATATTTAGTTACAGCAAATCTTCTCACACAAGGAGTTTAAATTTACTTATGAATAAATTAATTAGCAGGCATGTAGCTTACATTCATGAGATGTGTTATATTTTAGTTTTGTCCACTTTTATCACTTTGCACGTGTGTGTGCGCGTGTGTGTGTGTGTGGTTTTATTCTAGTAAATGTGCTCTATAAAAGCAGGTAATCTTGTGTTTTGAATCAAGTTTTAAAATGCTGAAACTGATTTCTGCACTATGTTAATCTGGCATATTGGATAGTGATGTAGGAAAGCACCGTGTGACAACATAAACTCCGTCTAATGTCTTCAGGAATTAGCAGCTTCATTAAAGGCTAACACACATGGGATTTGGATTTTTTACCATTGCTGTACAGAATACAGCAAGCAAATATGCAGCACGCTTGTTTTTCATCAGTTTATTTAAACCTGACTAACCATTGCTGCCTGGTTGAGTCTGTTTCTGAGTATTAAAAACCACAATGTAAAGAATTCCCAAGGCCCTGCATCCAGAAACTAGCTAAAACTCAACCATTTCATTCTTCTTTAAACAGTTACAGACAAAACTGGGCAAGGAAAGAATACCCTAACCCAGGAAATCTGAACACTAACGCTGAATGGGTAACACCGTAATTATTCTGTTTTTGTTCAAGACAGTATCATTATCACTCAGAAAATGTGTTCAGAGTAAAAAGCCATTATCTCTGCTCTATGCAAATGCATTCCCTGGCAACGTTTTCTGAATCATACCAGAAGGAATGCCTGTTGTCAAAGAGAGCCTATTTCCTGGATTCTTTCACTTATGTCACAGAAGATGAGTTGTTGCAAGTCTCTGGTGGGACTGCCTCATACAAAACATCACAGGGAAGAAAAATGAGATGCAGCATTAAAGGAAGCAAACTGACATGAGCTAGGTTAAAGTGTGAGTGTTGGAGGTCAGTGAGGAAAAGCACAACATGCAGTGTCAGACGACCTGCTCTCACATAGAGCCTTTACTGGGCCAACATTTACAAGCTTCGTGTGTTTAAAAAGATGAAAAGAAACACATTGAGGAAAATGCTTCTCTTTTTGCTTATCAGAGGAAAATGATGTGATAAAACTGGACTCTGCCTTATACAGTAGCTTCATTAAAGACTCTACTTCTGGCTTTCTACTTGAAAAGGACAGGACACCAGAACATCACAAAAAAGGCAAAAACTGAAAGCATTATTCACACTTTTTGCATTAAATACAAGATTCACTTTCCACCTTTCTTTTGATTTCTACACCGTGTGCAGATTTATGAGTAATTGTTATTTTTAGCTGCACTTTATAAGTTATATTAGCAACCTTGCATGAAACTTTTACCAGAGATGTTTCAGCTTTTAGGTCAGTTTGGATCTGGAGCTCATGGCGGGATCTGCTTTATTCTGTCTTTGAATAACTCAGTCTCAGTCATTGCTCCATGTTTGAACTTACTTGTGTAGACTTAAGCCGTGTTTCTACTGAAGGAGTTATGGAAATGTTGAGAGAGGGGGTAAGGTGACAGGGAAAATATGCTGGCTCGGTCCAACCAGCATTTGTACCTCCATACAAAATTGTCCCCTTCAGGACTTTGCTAAGACGTCAGCATCATGTCCATTCTGGCAGTGAGTGATGTGCTATGGACATTTTAAAAAGTATTCTGTCAAAGTATGCTGTAATTACATCTATTCAGAGCACGGGGAGAGAACCTGTGTCATGTAAGAAGTAACATTCAATTAACCAGAAGGTTTTTTTTACAGTGTTTTGTGGACCATTTAGTGGCCACAGTTACAGACATGTGGGGGTTTTCTGCCACATTGTTCCGTATTGGGAGTTTAGAAACTGATTTTATAGCATCAGTGCTTAAACAACCATTTGGTGGTTTAACTCCCAATCTAACCCCTTTTAATGCTGAGTTTCAAGCAGGGAGGCATTGGATCAAATTTTCTTTCAAAGTCTTTGGTATGACCCGACCCGGAGTTAAACCCTGATCTCTCAATCCCAGGGAAGACAGTCATACCCCTAGGCCACTGAGCTGTTATTGACATGTTTGTGGTCCTTTGGGCTTGCCGTAGAAGGACATGTAGGGGTTTATGGGGGTTGAAGAAGAAAAACAAAAGAAAGAATGTAAACAATGTTTTGGGATCTTTTTTATTTAACATAAACACAGAAAACATTTTCTTGGCAATCCATGTCATTGTTTGTGGAGAAAAGTGTGAAAATAAAAGAACACAGAAATACCAGTGGAGCTGGGTTGGCGCATGCACTCTGGGAGCAGTTCTGGTATTTAGCCACAGCTCTGCTTCAACAATGATAACCTTCATGAGGGAAAATATCAAACATGTTTAATATTCATGCAACCGTAAGCTTGCTGATCGGGAGCTGGCTGTGAGGTGTTAATCTCCTCCCGTTACTTCTATACAACGCTAAACTCAACCCCGACCGCAAAGATTCTCACACAAGAGGAAAATTGGCTCAAAATTAGCCAAAAATCCAGCAGTGTACACCCAGCTTGAGTTAGAACCAATCAGCCTGAGTTAACCACAAGCCCCACCCAGTGAAGTGAAATGGTCTGGAAAGTGGTCCTTTTGGGCCGGCCTGGTGAAATGGAGACACATGCATGCTGTGAAGGTCCGGTAAAACCTCTCAGAGGTTCAGATGGTGGAAACAGACCTTTAGAAGCTGGTGGAGAAGGTCAGTACTATCTGTCTCAGAATAAGAATAGTTCTCATAATTCTCCAGATTTTTACTGCGATCAGGTGAAAAGGTGCTTTTCTGAAAGCTTTTTGTGTTTAGTTAAGCTGGTTTTAGAAATATGTAAAACGGGTAAAGTGAGTTGACATTTAAAACCAACACCGCAGAATCATTCCCATCAAAAACACTCTTTGGAAGATTTGTTGAAGCACAAAAGTTTTTGGATTTCCATCTCCAAATTGATGTTGCTGCCTTGCCTCTCTTACTTCACAGATTACACTGTAGAAACCTCTCTTCTGGTAATGCATTTGACTGGTAATGAATTCAGTTTCCTGGCTAATTTGGCTCTAATTAACAAAGAGAAATAGATATTTGATCATTTTAAGCCAACAGAGAAATGAAGAAGCAGAATTTATTTCACCTGAGAAAAACTCTGAAGAACTGTTTAATGTAGCAAACTCTAAAAGCCTTAAATATTTAAAATGTGGTCATTGATTCTCATTTAGTTTGCAGCTGAGATGGATGTATGTGTGGTCTAACTGCTGGTTTGTATTCAGATGCACTCACCACTCTCCTGGGAAAAGTTTTCCCTATTTTCGTTGAGGCATGAAGCAAAAGAGCTTTAAATAAATTATTAAGATTAATCAAAGCAGTATGACAGGATCACGCACAGGACCTTCATCCATAGCACCGAAGAGGGATTTCAGAAACATTTCTGGTAAAAATGTTTAATTATGGCAAAAAACTTTTGAAGAAAAAAATAACTGCTTAAACCTTAAGATGAATGCCTATTGTAAATGTTTTATATATATTTTGGGAATATTTCAGTATTTATTAGATTTGTTTGTTCTTTGTTTTCTTTTTAGAAATTTATATAAAGCCATTGCTCTTTTATATTTTTAAACCTGACGTACTGTTTTGTCGATTTGCATGTTTTCTAATGCTACAGTAGTAAATTACACTCAGTGCCATCCTCCAGTGGAGACTCTGTCTCTGTATCAGGCATGGCAGAAACAATAGACTGTATGGTATTTCTTCTTTCTTGCACCTGGTTCCTGAAACACTGTTCCTGTCTTATCAGTAGTATAAAATACTAAATAGATAAAATAAAACTACCTGTAGCTGATCTGCATGTTACATTTAACACATTTTATGTTGCCTGTTCATTTCTTGAGTTTTATTCCACCGTTTTACTTCATTGTTTGGTTCCTATGAGTTTACCGGTTTGCATGACTTCCTGTTCTGACATCTCAAGAGTTTATCTTGTACATGATTATTGTCATATAGTGGGTTGTGAAATGGTTTGTATTGAATTGCCTTAAATGAACATTATTAAAAATGGCTACTTTTATAAAAGCTTGTGGAGAGTTTAATTTGAAAATTTGTGACTTCAATTTGACATAAATGCGATGGAAAAAGATCCTGCCGTGCTCTTCAGGAGCTACAAGCCCTGTGGTGCCTTCCTGTACTCACATAAGGTTTTAATCACCATTATGTTTCCAAAACATGCACCACATCCGAAGGGTCAGTCTTGGCACAAGATTACACCACTGTAGCATGTGATGGTCACCTAATCTAAAACTAAAGCCTGCACGACCAGTATGGAGTGTGGAATGCAGTTCTAGGCCTATGCGGCCTATTTTCATTTAAAACTCAATGATTTTCAATCCTGGTCCTCAAGAACCGCTATTCTACTTGTTTCCTTTCACCAACGTACCATTGTCTGTTTAATTACCTTCTAAACGTGATTTAAAGGGCCTGTATCAGAGCCATTTATCACCTTCCAGAGCCTACGATAGGCACAATTTAAGATAACACACTGTTAACCCCCTCGGGCTCAAAATAAGTTTTGATAAAAGGATGAACAACTAAGTCCTTCAGGAGTACTTCTGAGTTGAAGTACGTATGTGGAGTAACCAGGTAGGTAGGTTTTAACGTTGCAAATGTGCAACGCCTACCTCCAGAGGGTTAAGAAGAACCTGTGTGAATTCCTCCCATTTCCTAACGCATCCCTAGTATAGCATCTTTTGCGACATGCGTGCCAGCAGTGAGTTATCAGGAGCACCAGGACATTTGCTGGTGGCCTGGCCGCTTAAATGTCCCACTCAGCGAGTGCCAAACCCAAACCCATTAAGGCATTTCAGTTTTGTTCGTAGTCTATTTATCCACTTGTGTAACATACCAAAGGCAAAGTATTTCAATCAAAAATTACCAGAAATTTACTTTTTCAATTGCAGACATAAACACCCCATCTGTCTGGCCTCCAAACAAGAAAGTACTCCACAAGGCCTCGTCACCGGATAAAGGAGACATAATAATTCCTAGCTACCTTATCTTGGCTGAAGCAAAAGTCATGCAGAAAACGAGACTGTCTGGACTTCCACTCTGAATAAATTTAATCTTCTTTGAATCATAAATGACTTTTTAAAACTTAAAAATTACTAAGTTCCTAAGTTTGTCTTACTTTTTCCACACCCGCCTTATCCATCAACAAAAAGCTGCAAGAGAGAAGCAGAGGTGGCAGAAAAATCCCTCTGATGGTCCTGATAGCTTCCTGCAGGAAACAGTTTTTTCTCATCTTTTCAAACCTTTGGATGTTCCTATTCCACTACTTAGTGTTGTCACTGCTGTTACATCCCCTCTGGCATCTAGGAGTGGTGAGGGGAGAACACAGAGAAAAATAAAATAATGAAAAAGAAAAACGGGAATGAATCACCGATGGATGGTGTCTGTTTGTGATGGTATTTAAGTGAACGGAAGGAGGTTAACGCAATGGTTGTTTACAAAGGTTTATTTACAAAAAGTTGGATTAAAAGTAATAAGTAAACTAAAATAAACTCCCTTTTCTAAAACAGGGAGCAGCAAACCAATCATAAACTTAAAGCTCTCTCTGGTGTTAACCAGAGAGAGGAGTCCAAAGAGGGAAAATACGCCTAGTTGAACTAAACCAACCACTAAAGAAACAAAATGTTAACCCTAAACCATTACCAAAACCAAAACGACCCACAAAACAGAAGCTAGAAATCTCCTTAACTAAAAATCCTTCAAAACAAAACAATGAGCCAAGTTAAACTGAGGATTAGGAGATTAACAGTAACTGGAGGCAAAAAGACACAATTTATCTATATCTTTTATCTATATCAAAACTCTGGGGCACTAACTGCAAACCAAAAACCCAAGAATGGAGATCACAGTAACTAGTAACAGTCTTATGAGAGATCACAGTTTTTACCCTGGGTCTCCTCTGTAGCTGTGTCTCCCAGAATGATGGAGTTGGGAGGCTTACCCCGGCTTTCCACAGGAGCCGTCAGCAGCACGTTACTGCAGCAGCACGTCATAGCTGCTGATAGGAACAGCTGTGGTCAACAGAACCTTTTCCACTGGAGCCGTCAGCAGCCATCAGCAGCGCGAGTCGGCCGCGTCTCAGGAGCAGCATGTCGCGGCCTTTACGCACCGGTTCTATTTTCTACGCGCAACGCCTCTGAAACGGGTCAGGTTCGACATTTTTGGGGGAGGAAAGACAGGAAATCGGACGCGGAAATGGAGAGAAGCTCCCGAGATTTTCAGAATAAAGAAACGTACTGCCTTCCGGTTGCTTTACTCTTAAAAAGAGTTACTAAATGTGCGGCCCCGTGAGAAGTTATCACCTAGCTAGCGGTCTCCTTTGTTTTTCAGGTCCGTATTGGCGATTATAAAACGGACAGAACATAAAACACAAACCTTTTGGAGCCATGTTGTAGTTTTCTCCTGCTTGTTGTGTTTACTGACGAAGTCACTCGTGTGACTTCGTGCTCGGTCGGTGACAGCTGCTCCCCTGCTGCTTCGCGTCTCGTGGGAAGGGCCAAGCAGCAGCTTACGCGAGCCAGACGTGCTGCTGCAGTAATGTGCTGCTGACGGCTCCTGTGGAAAGCCGGGACTAAGCTTGGTTTATGCTTGATGCGTCCGCGAGATTCGCACGGCTCCGCGCGGCAAAATTGCGTCATTTTAACAACCGCGCCTCCGCACGGCCCAAACTTTCTGCACCGTGCACCTAGGAAATTTTCTAACCACGCGGACGGTCGGACGCGGAAAAACATGGCGGACTGGCAAGAACTAGTTATGGCAGAGGTTCGTAAATACAGACATTTGTATGATTCAGCTCTCAAAGATCACCGTGATCCAGGGGCGCAGATAGGATTTTCAAACTGAGGAGGACAAAGTTCCAATGTACCCTCCCCCAAACACACACACACACACACACACACACACACACACACACACACAATTGTCTATTTTTTGCTCATTTAAAATACACTCAACAACAATATAAACACAACACCTTTGTTTCTGCTCTGATTTTTCATGAGATGGACTTAAAGATCTAAAATTCATTCCAGATACACAATATTACCATTTCTCTCAAACATTGTTCACAAATCAGTCTAAATGTGTGATAGTGAGCACTTCTGCTTTGCTGAGATAATCCATCCCACCTCACAGGTGTGCCACATCAAGATGCTGATCCGACATCATGAGTAGTGCACAGGTGTACCTTATACTGCCCACAATAAAAGGCCACCCTGGAATGTGCAGTTTTGTCTCACAGCAAAATGCCACAGATGCCACAAGCATTGAGGGAGCATACAAATGACATGCTGACAGCAGGAATGTCAACCAGATCTGTTGCTCATGCATTGAATGTTCATTTCTCCACCATAAGCTGTCTCCAAAGGCATTTCAGAGAATATGGCAGTACATTCAAACGGCCTCACAACTACAGACGAAGTGTAACCACACCAGCCCAGGACCTCCACATCCAGCAGGTTCACCTCCAAGATCGTCTGAGACCAGCCACTCAGACAGCTGCTGAAACAATTGGTTTGCATTACCAAACAATTTCTGCACAAACTGTCAGAAACCGTCTCAGGGAAGCTCAACTGCATGCTCGTCATTCTCATCGGGGTCTTGACCTGACTCCAGCTCGTCGCCGTAACAGACTTGAGTGGGCAAATGCTCACATTCGATGACGTCTGGCACGTTGGAGAGGTGTTCTCTTCACGGATGAATCTCGGTTTACATTGTTCACGGCAGATGGCATCGTGTGGGCGAGCGCTTTGCTGATGTCAATGCTGTGGATCGAGTGGCCCATGGTGGTGGTGGGGTTATGGTATGGGCAGGCATCTGTTATGGATGAAGAACACAGGTGCATTTTATTGATGGCATTTTGAATGCACAGAGATACTGTGATGAGATCCTGAGGCCCATTGTTTTGCCGTACATCCATGAACATCACCTCATGTTTCAGCAAGATAATGCATGGCCCCATGTTGCAAGGATCTGTACACAATTCTTGGAAGCTGAAAATGTCCAAGTTCTTGCATGGCCAGCATACTCACCAGACATGACACCCGTTTAGCATGTTTGGGATGTTTTGAACGGCATATATGACAGCGTGTACCAGCTCCCACTAATATCCAACAACTTCGCACAGCCATTGAAGAGGAGTGGACCAACATTCCACAGGCCACAACTGACAATCTGATAAACTCTATGCAAAGAAGTTGTGTTGCACTGCATGAGGCAAATGGTGGTCACACCAGATACTGACAGGTTCCGAGTCCCCAGACCCCCCAATAAAGCAAAAAACTGCACATTCCAGGGTGGCCTTTTATTGTGTTGAGGTGATTTGGGCATTTGATCAGGGTGCCTCCTGGAGGCCTCCCTGGTGAGGTTTTCCGGGCATATCCAACTGGGAGAAGACCTACTGTTGGAGGGACTATTTTTCTTGGCTGGCCAGGGAACCCCTTGGGATTCCACCTGGAAAAACTGGCCCAAGTGGCTGAGAAGAGGGAAGTCTGGGCCTCTCGACTTAGGCTGCTGCCTCCATGGCCCAGCCCCAAATAAGCAGAAGAGAATGGATGGATGGATGGATGGATGGATGGATATAGTACCAATCTTGTTTTCTATGCAAATAGATTTTGGCTAATAACTCATTCGCTGCCAGCGTTTCTCACCGTTTTTACTGTTTTTTAAAGAGTCACAGAACGTTGTGCGCTAGGATGATATCGACGCCAAAACAACCAAAACAAAGAGGAGACTCACCTCTTACAACAGGAAGAATCCGTGTGTTTCGAGCGTTATCCATTCTTTCATAATCCGTTGTTGAATTGTGATTGGCAGACGCTTTTCCGGTTCGCGCCTCACCTTTTTTACAGGAACGGCCCAAAATGATCTCCTAACACATGGATGTTCTGCTTCCTGATCACATGATGTGTGACGTACGCGGATGAAGATCGGGTTCAGGGCTGAGATGTTTGTTCTCTCAGCACCGGGGCTTGTTCCGATGCTCAAACAGTAAAAAAAAATGCAAATGACGA